GACTACACTTAGTCCGCCTGAGCACCACTAACATTCTTCTGCGCACCCATCAGGCCTGTCTTACGGCGCACCAAAGGTTGGGAATCCTCCTCATCAGAACTCGACCCGCCATCCTTCTTCCCGCCACCGCCGGCGCCCTCAACCTTCTCTTTATCCTGATCCTGCTGCTGCTGCTCTTCATCCTGACGCTCTTCCCCTTCCTCCTCCTCCTCCTCCTCCGACTCTGAATCCGACTCCAACGGCCTTTTCTCGTTCAGCCACGTCCTCACATGTGCGACCATGGCACGAGTATCCCACTGGTAACCAGGATTCTCCGGGCGCACCTTCTTCCCAACAGCCATCACAGCCTTAGTCATCGCGTCAGCAATGACCTTCCCGAACGACAAGGAAGACTTGTACTGATGGACGGCAACAGCCTGCGCTTCACGAACTGCCTCCGCCTTAGCTACGTCATGAAGACGCACCAAATCTTTCTTCTCCTTCTCAAATTCATCCCGAGCCCGCTTCAACTTGTCCGCGGCGTCGGACACCAACTCCTTCTTCTCCTTCTCCTTCTCATCCAGCAGACGCTTCCGCTCCACCTCAAACTCCGCCCGCAACTCAGCCCGGGCGCGCTCTCGTGCGGTGTCCAACTGATCCGCCAACTTACTCTGCAGGACGCCGAGCTCCACCAGCGCGTCATTGGCTTTTGTCGTGGCCAACTCCGCGCGTCCTTCAGCGCCAGCAAGCTTCCCCTCCAACTGCTCAATCCGAGATTCTTCGGATCTCAACTTCGCACGCTCGCGCCCCCGCTCCTGTTGAGCGCGGAAAGTCGCCAGCAAGCCCTACAAATATAACGCGATAACACTTAGCAAAATTTCTGATGAAAAGAAAAAAAATATAGTAGTTCAGACCCCGCAGGATGTCTTACCGCGAAATGGATCTGAGCCAGGTCCATGAGCGGATCAGACTTTTCCATACGGGACGGGATGCCCAAAAGGGGACCCACGGCCCGCAGCGCAACGTTCGCTGACGCAACGTTACACGCGGCGCCCGTATGCAACCGCACATCGCGGAAGTAGTCGATGGCCCCCCCGGCCATCTGCGGCAGCTGTTGCTGGACTCCAGCTCCAGATGAGCTACCGGCACCTCCTCTATCGGGACGAGCGGTGCTGGCCGTGCGCGGAGTTTGCTCCGCAATCGCCAAAGGCACGCGCGTCGTCGCCGGCGCGGTGTTCGCAACTGGCTCTACAATGCGCACTGTCTTCGGCGCCTTCTCAGTAATAGACGGCTGCTCCGCCGTCTTCCTCTTCCCGCCCCTCTCCGAAGCAGCCTGCTTACCTTCCCTCGTCCTCTTCCTCCCACCGCGAGGAACCTTGATGACTTCATCAACAGACATCATGCTCGCCAAGCTGGAAAAATCAACACCTGCGCCAATAAATGTTAAGAGGGCGGTTAATAAGAAAGAATACAAAACGAAAGGAACACAACTAACCATCGGCAAACAATTCGGCCAAGCAAGCCTCGCGGACCCCAGCCGAATGAAGGTCAAACTTCTGAAGCAGGCATGCCTCATACTCCTGATCAAGCCCAGGGTACTTGCCCAGCTCTGACTCGTACGCATGCGTGCCACCCTTCATCCAAGTGGTTGGCTCCGCAACATACGCGCTCGCCCACTCCCCGGGCGTGGGCTTCACATAAAAGAAGCGCTCGAACCAAGTTTTCTTAAGCTTAGGCGAGCCGTACACAAAGCCGTCAGGCCTGTTGTCACGCCGCTTGATGGAAAGACAATCACTTGTCTTGGTGGGCTCCTTGATCTTGTAAAATTTCCTGAACAACCCATAAGTGGGTGTAATCTTGAGCCGCTTGCACGCCGTCCGGAGGCAACTGGCGTGCATAATAACAGAAGGAGAGAGCCGCGCGATTGAACAGTTGAGCTTCTCGTACAAGGCGCACAGCAGTGGGTCGATGGGAAATTTAAATCCCATCACCCAATACTCTGTGTAAACGCCAAACCAGCCCGGGGGGCAGTTCCCAACCATGCTGCGCACAGACGGTACGGCGTACTGCCAGCTGGGGGGCAATCCCAACCCGCGCACAATCTCCTCCACATCCTCGCGCCCATAAATCGATGCGTGGTCGGGACCGCGGAGTAGATTATCATGTGGGGCCGGCTGATCGCCCCACATCTCGGCCCAATCTATGACAGTATACACCGCGCCCACGCCTTGGAACCCTAGCCGGCTCACTGCTTCTGTCACGCGGACTTGGTAAAGGGGCTCCGATTGCGTTTCCGACCCATCGCGCACCTCAGAGGTCGCCCCGCCAGATCTTCCGTCATGAGTGCGACGGATTATCAGGACCCCACTAGAGCCCGCCGCCCCACTACCCGACGGAACCACATCGGCGTTGGAAGACTCCTGAAAGCCCCGGCCGGAATCGACGTTGCCCGACGGCGACGCTGAAGCACCATCGTCGTCACTAGCATCGTTGTCGTTGCTAACACCACCGTCGTCCCCGCCGTCCCCGTTGCCGGAATCGGCCGGGTTCGACTCAAGTCGAGTAGAAGTAGGTGAGAAAGAAAGAGGATTACCTTCTTCGCCCTGCACGACCTCGGTCTCATTGATGTTGGTGCTATCCATGGCAATTCCTTGAGTAGCAGTAGCAAACGAAAGACTTGAGGTTGTGGAAGAAGAAGAGGAATCCTCGAAACAGAGAGATGGAGAAACTAGAGAGCAAAGTACGAAGAAGGAAAGATGGAAGGAAATCTCAAGAGCAGCCGTATATTTATATGTGAGGATGGGAAGTCGAAGGGGTTAAAGGTCATCGAAAATCGCAACCGTCAGAGGATTTCGAAATTCAAAAGGCCGCCAGAGCTAACCAATCGCACGGTGACACGTGGCAGACTCCAATCCCGAACAATCATAACGAGCACAGGCACTAGCCGTCGACGTCACTAGTGACGCGCAACGCCTGGGGGGCATGACACACCCGCAAAAGGGGAAAAACCCCACCCCCAAAAAAACGCCCGAAGAAAGCCTCCCGGAAATTGCGCACATGAGATGACCGCAAGATCCTCCATGAAGATCGCGCACGTCAAGCAACCGCGCACACAAAAGGCCCGCAAGATACCCCGGGTAGATCGCGCACGCAAAACAACCGCGCCTTACCCCGCAACGAACAGGAGAGCCTCAACATAGTAGAGCGCACGAGACCTAGCCGGCCAAATCAGCGCGAAGCACGTGGATCCGAGTCAGCAGAGCGGAAACCACAACAGGAGGCGTTCGAGAAACACCCCCTGTGGGGGGCAATTGTTGGGCATGTGACTCGGATCACTCCCGCGCCAAAGAAGCACGCCAAACCGCACGCCACGACAAACACGGCGCGACACGTCCGACAGCGTCGAGACCTCGCGCGCGGCAAGAGTGAGTCTATGCGCGCGAATGGAAGACAAGGCGGCAACCAGACTCAAGAGCCGGAGAGGGCGTCATTGTGTCTCCCGAGGGAAGGTCACATCAAGACTTTTGAGTACAAATCATGGACAAACCTCTGACAGGTCCTAGGTTAGGGGATGGCCTAAATCCCTGACACATCAGCAGTCACGTCGTTGTACCGTCTCGAAGTCCACCCACTCACCCACCACCATGTAGCCTATAAATATGGCATTTACTCTGGTGGGTGAGGGGATCGCATTTTTGCACCATTCTCTCTCCATAGCAACTACTTCTCTTTCTAAAAGTTCGAACCTTGATTTCTCACTCAACTCGTCAGTTCTTATTCCTTCAATTAAACCCGATCCTAGCGTTCCTTCTTGACCCGAACTCTCACACGAACCTCACTCCTACACTCAGTTAGGTTCAAACAGATGGGTTTTTTTTAAGTAATAACAGGAAGCTAACCACCACCAAGAGGGGTTCACATTAGGGATGGTAAAAATATCCGTAACCGTAAATATCCACTCGAATCCGTCTTAATCGGGTAGGATAAAACTTGAACCTGAAGAACTTTTATTGGGTACGGATAAAACCCGAACCCGAATATTGTGGATAATGGGTGGTCATGGTTTTCTCATATTATTATCGAACCCACCCGATTATACACATGCATATGTATTTTGTCTAGAAATAATTAATATTTTTCTCTAACATATTTTATATTTAGCATATAAATATAACATTTTTATGAAATTGTGTTATTTTAATTGATTTTCTTCACTCTAATGAATTATTATCGTACTTTTTGTCTTACGTAACGTGAGAATACATGTGAATGGTAACATATTGGTTGGAGTTATAAAGAGAAACTATTACCCATGGTCCATGGATAACCACGGATACCCGAAATCCGAACGGGTACGGGCACGGTATAAATTTTCTCCCCGTTTCTTATGTGGGTATGGGTAAAACCCGAACTGCTTTGGATAGGGTAACGGATATGCACTATTCGTCCCTGACCCGACTCATTGTCATCCATATTCCACATGGAAAGAAAAGCTACAATAATATTTTTTTAATTTTTTGATCAATGCTAATACAAAAGGGAGCAAATCATGTGCAAAGTGCAAACCCTAATTTATATAACCTACAAAAATTCCGTCATTGTACCATCATGACAAAAAAATGATTATATAGTACTATGCACCGAAAACTCAAATCGTACAAAGATAATGAAGCTTACATAAATAATTAATAAACTCTCTATGATTAAAGAAAGACAAAATTAAGAAACTAATATATAATCTACTCTTGTATATATATATATATGACTACAAAAATCACCAATGAACACAAGTCAACCTGCACTCATTGACTAATAATTAACTAACTAAACCCCAATCTTGACGACTAATCTCCCTAGCTGTTCCCATTAATCCCTCCCGCGTTTCCAGCAACAAACACAACCATCAGTCGTCGCGCGCGCGTCCCCCCATCTCTCACACCCTAAACACAAAACCAGAAAACAAATCAATCAGCTGAACAGGTTGCAGAAGTGCTTAATTAGAGTAATTAATTATTAACTACTCACTGCTGATACTCGATGTTGATGGCGCCGGGGGAGCCGTTGGCGATGGCGGCGAAGGCGGAGGTGGAGAGCACGAGGGTGGTGCCGCCCCTCGACGGCCGCGTGACGGAGGAGAGGGCCCGGTCCACGACCCGGACCCGAATGGTCTGACCGGGAATGCAGGTCCGCGGGGCGACGGCGCTGATGCAGCGGACCACGTACTGGCGGCCGCACGACGCCCCGTTGTCCCACACCCCTTCCCCCGCCGCCGCGAACAGGTTGCTCGAAGGGAACTGCGCCGCCTCGTTGCCGTAGCACGCCGTCGCTGCACATTCATCATCATCATCATTATAATTACTGATTACATAATAAGCTTAGAGATAGTTGATTTTCAGAGATAGCTGATTTTCAACCGAAAATTACATCGATCGAACTTATTACTTAGCTAGTCAGTGTCGATGAAGAAATGATTAAAAGGGTAAAAGAGCTTTCAATCTATTGCGGGTTCAAATCGTTACTGTATGTATTTTAGCTGGTTAGGAGTCGGCATTCATAATTAACTAACTGAAATTTCAATGATGCGCGGAACGATGCATCTCCTTTGCTAGCTAAGCGAGCCAACGAACTAGAGGAAATGGAGTGCATGATCGACTTAATTTCAACTTGAAGGTTTCGAGTTTGAATCTCAACTGGATAGCTTAAACAGACTGATTTGGAAGCGGCTACATTTACAAGAGTTATGGGTATGGACTTACGTAGGTAAGGGGCGCGGTAGTGGGAAGCGGTGCCGATGTCGGCGGAGGAGAGGCGGAAGAGTGCGGCGGCGGATAATAGAGAGACGGCGAGGAGGAGGAAGGAGGCGGAGGAGGAGAAATGTTGAGATGTCATCTCTTCTTCTTGTACTCTTTATTGTCTTTGAACTAATAAGTTGATTTGATTTGTTTGGCGACAGATGCAGGTTAAGACTTGCGCGTACTGGGCGTCCTTTTTATACAGCGCACGGACGTCAGAGATACGGCTAATACACGTAAGAATCTAAAAGATTCTAGAATCTGCACCCCCCCCAATTTGATCACAACTACTTTGGATTGTCGCTTTTTTTGACTGGTGACAAAAAGGTTCCCATACGTACGTAGAAAACTGGAAAAAGGAACCGTGACCGTATACAAATTTATTTTTTTTTGCTTGTTTTTTTCTATGATGCCGACAAAATGCTTCTAGCTACTCGTGCTTGTGAAAGAGTAGTTTGTTCATGAAGAAGCTTAATTTGCAACAATAGTTGGTTCTTGGTTGACTAATATAATAGACCCATATCACTCGATCGATCTCCTCTTTCTGCGGCATCGTATCAAAGTTGAAAGGTTAAATCAAAACTTTTTAAGTCTGTTTAGATACAATTCTGGAAGAAATGGAAATAGAAATGGAATTCCATTTTTTATTTTTATAGAATTTCATTTTCAATTTTAGTGTTTGGTATAATTCTTACAACTAAGGAAATGAATTGTACTTTTAACCATAATAAATAATGCAATATGTTTGTTTTATTTTGGAAAATGAAATATGAATGAGAGAAAAAGAGAGTAAAATGATAGTGGGTCAATAAAATAATAAAAAGTATTGATTCTCACTAATTACATCTTCATTCTCTCAAATCTCAATTCCTATCACTTTTGATAGGAATTGTAATTCCCAAATTTTAGACCCAATGAAATTTAATTCTCGGCCTTTTTATTATTCCAAACATAATATATGGAAATGGAATTCCAATTCTTTTTTTTTCCACTCCAAACAGGCTGTTTGGGTTTAGTGTCCGACTTTGCTTAATTATCTTCATCGCAATTAATAGCTAGGGGTTTGAATATAATTTTCCAGAAAGGAAAAGTAAACCAAAGGGGGAGGGGCCATTTATTTGGCGGGAGGGATTAGTAATCATTTGGCGGCGGGTTTTTCGTACATTCACATTGTTGTTTTTTGCTATTATCAAGCCAGAAAGAAAGAAAAAAAAAAGGGTTCATCTTCTAGTAGCTGCTAGTTATTAGTTAGTTATGCAGAACTTTCACATTATGGAAGAAAGAAAGGAAAAAGTCAACAAAATCCGTTGTTTTTTCTTTCCATCCAAATTATATAAAGACAGGCTGATAGCCAGATTACAGCTGATGACAGACAAGCCGCCGTGTGATATCCATGCAATTGAAGAAAAGTACGTACGTGTAAACCATATCAGTTCTATGATTAATTTTGGACGTGTTTTGTTGACTTCGGATCGTCCGTGGATCTAGCTAAGTTGCGGTGCCGATTGACAAAAAATCAGGTCAAACCTCCAACTAACTAATTACTTTAATTTGATCAGCGGCAAACCTTTTGGGCTGTTTCTTGTCGGCTCCCGGCCGTTAATTATAAGGAGGCATCCGCGAGTCAAGCATCTGCATGCGGCAGTGGCGAAACCTCGCCCTAACCTATATATACGGTTGATAAAAAAAATAACCATTGAAATATTGTAGGAAATTGAGTGACAAATATTGCGGGTTAGAAGACATTAATCGAATATGATGGTAGCATGACAAATAAATTGCATTTATAGAGTGGTGGATTGAATTGGTGCACTTATGGGTCGCGAATGAATTGGATCATAAATCTAAATGTAAACTAAACATTAAATCAATATCAATTTTTTTTAAAAAAGTTTAAGGTATTAAAATTTCGTAATAAAAAATTTAGTTATCAAACCGTAATTTCCCTATGTATTTTACGTTAGGATATTAAACAATTTAGGTGTCAAAATATAAAAATATAGATACTGAACTGTGATTTTCAAATATCTATGAATTCAATCAATGAAGCCACCATTCGAATTGAATTTGGATTACATATGGATTGGATTAATTAAATATTTTAGTCAAGGTTGTCAACATGGTTTAGCCCGTTGGCTTGGTTGAGCAAGTGGGTTGAGAGTTAATGATATGATAGCTTCAACACGAATGTATGGGGAAAAAAGTCATTATATTGTTCATGTGTTTATAATTTATATCAAATTTCATCTAACATATGAGCAATAACATATAACATTAAACCGAAACAACAATTCATACTTGAATCTAACATAGAGTGAAAATTCAAACAAACTCATATAACATCAATATTCAAATGTTCAATTTCGCAAACCAAAGAAAAAAAAAACTACAACCACCAACTCGGGGACAACGATTCAAATCTTTTTATGCAAGAGTTGGGCACTCGTCGCGGATACAATAGTGTACGAGCCTCGATCCAGTGTGTGGTTCGAGTGTATGCATGGGCCTCGATCCGCTTCAAACATAGATATTTTGGGAAATGTTTTATAAGTGGTGCAGTTTAGAAATTTGATTTATTATTAGCTGTATTTTAGGGACTTTTTTCCAAAAATTAACTACCACATGTTTTTTATGACGGGCATAATTATCAATCACCACATTAGACTGAAGAGATGAGCTCTTTTGACTAGGACAATTGGAAATTCTCGCTTACAGAGCTGGGCCTGGCTCTCAGGTCTCCCGAATGAGAAAAGGACAAAGAGCTAATGAGCCCAGTCTCCAATTCAAGATAAAAGGCCGGCACATTGGGAAAAGAGATGGACTTTGGCCCAATCTCTAGGTGGGCTGGCAGGCCCATATCTTCAAATCTGTACTAATAATCTTTCCTCTCTATTATCTTTTTTGGTAGATTGCTTTAATCTCTGGACTCCGACTCATAGTACTAATATCCATGTAATTGTAAAATATGAATAATATAGGTGGGATTGCTCTGCTCACATCAAAGACATGTGTGCCAAAAATAAAAAAAAATGACCTTGATTGCAAGAAAAATCGACTGCAAAATTAAACTCACCATACTCATGTTTAATTTCATCAATCCAATCCTTTGTAATCTCTGTGAGTGAGTGAATCTGTGTGCGTTTCAATTTCTTTTCTTTTTTCTTTTATTTAATTTCTCCTCTCTTCTACTATTCTTCTATTCTATCCATGTCGCGAAATTGAGAGTGCCGGTTTGATACCGCCAACGACCAGCCTCATTATCAGCTGATGCTTTCTTTGTCCATTTGTCTCGTTTCAATCGCTACTCAGTCAGGTTCCCAATCCAAAAATTCGTTCTTCCGGCCGTCTTTTTCTACTTTGGATTCGTCGCGTTTTCTTCCGCCGAACCAATTCTCTTATCTGTTAATCTTACTTATTACAAGAGTTTGCCTCGTCTTGCTCCGTCGCCGCCGTCGGGGTTTTCTTTTCCTGAATCCTCAGTCCCAAAGATCGAAACTTTTTCCAGATGGGTAGTGCTGTAGCTCAGTGCCCACATGGGATCACTTCGCATTCCACCGGAAATCTCGGTCAAAAGAAGCTGGGTTATTCTTCTCGGTGCTCCAAATTTCCTTGTCAATTGGATTTCGCTAGGTTTGGCTTGCTTCATCAAGGTTCCTCTGCCGCTTCTTCCTCTGATCACTCCACGGTATGTTTCTCTAGACAATTCCTTATTTGAATCCGATCGTTTTGTCTGTTCTTTTCTGTCTCGCTTAGATTTTGTGTGATCGTCTGGAAAGGCAGAAATGGGTGGATGGGTGTCGATTTTATAAGTTTGTAGATGAAGCAAACCGGTGTCCGAGCTGGCAAATGGAAAGAGATTGGTGATTGGTAGTCGATGAGGAGGCTGAACTTGTGTCCAATTGGAGATTTTGAGTCCAAGCATTTTCAGTGCTTTGTGTGTCTATTGGATCCTTTTGTGTATGTCAATATGATGCTTTTTCTTGATCAATTAAAATATCGCCATGTTAGGTAACGATTTCCAGAATCGTTTGCTGGTTAGTAGGTAAGCTGATGATGTTTTTGTTTGATGTAGGAATTCGGGCGTCGAATAAATGCTGTACCAGATATGGATGACATGTTCTGGGACAAAGTACCAACTCCTTTACTTGATATGGTTGAGAACCCTATTCACCTCAAGAATTTGTCCGTCCAGGTTAGTTAGATTTGGTGCATTTTCCTTCTTGTGCTTTCTGTTTGGGGCTGACTTGATGAAGGACGTGCTTATTCATGAACTTATTTGTTCAGGAGTTGAAGGAACTAGCTAGTGAAATACGGTCAGAACTATCATGTATAATGTCAGAGAAGCCAAATTCTTTGAAGGCCAGTTTGGCTGTGGTAGAACTCACCATTGCCATACATCATGTTTTTCATGCTCCAGTGGACAAGATACTATGGGATGTAGGTGAACAAGTAAGCTACCGAAAGTTTTCCGACGTCCTCCATTTGATTGCTGTCTTTTATAATCGAAAGAGAAAGATGTGGAGCAGTTAACAGCGACCCTGTTAAGTTCTTGTTAATCATTTTGACTGAGCTGAGACATGTGAGATTCTGACTGAGAACTGCCGAAAATAGTAGTTAATTATGAATACTTGCTCATGGTTAAACATAAAAATTACTAATGAATGCATCCTCCGTACCTTTTTGGCAGACTTATGCGCATAAAATTCTCACAGGCAGGAGGGCACTAATGCGCATGATGAGGCAAAAGAATGGTCTTTCTAGCTTTACATCTCGGTTTGAGAGTGAATATGATTCCTTTGGAACAGGGCATGGCTGCAATAGTGTTTCTGCTGGTCTTGGTAGTATCCTTCTTTATGTCTTGCTGCTTTCTTCTACTAATCGGATATTGCAGTTTTCTGAATGCAAATGAACGAGCATTCAGTTCAGATGTCCTTTTCTTAGTTTTGCATTAAACTCTCCTAACTAAGTGAAAAATGTTTCTTCCGTCAGGAATGGCCATTGCACGCGACATCAAAGGGAAGCGTGATCGAGTTGTTACTGTCATTAGCAATGCGACAACTTTGGCTGGACAAGTATACGAGGCAATGAGTAATGCCGGTTACTTGGACTCAAATATGATTGTGATTTTAAATGATAGCCGTCGCTCTTTGCACCCAAAGATCGAACAAGAGCCAAAAACTTCAATTACTGCCTTATCTAGTACCTTAATCAAGATTCAGTCTAGTAAATCATTCCGGAAGTTCAGAGAAGCTGCAAAGGTATTTTCACTCTTTAACATATAAGCCTGAAGTTTTAGTAATGCATGTTGCTTTCAAAAGGAACACTATCAGTATGTAGATTTGAACTCTGGGTTGAATGAATCTCTTTGATAAGTTTCTTGAGATCCAAATCCTGATTCTTTGGCTCCTTCCATGTTCCTTTTTCAAGGGAATTACCAAAAGGATTGGCAGGGGTATGCATGAATTGGCTGCCAAATTTGATGAGTATGCACGTGGTATGATTGGTCCACAAGGATCGACTCTTTTTGAGGAGCTTGGTCTTTATTACATTGGCCCTGTTGATGGACACAATCTAGAAGACCTCATTTGTGTTTTGCAACAAGTGTCATCTTTGGACTCCATGGGCCCAGTCTTGATACATGTGATCACTGAAGACAATCATCAAGATGCAGAATGTAATGAAAAGATCGAGGCTGACAACCCACAGGAAGGTATGATCACTATTAGTCTTTCTCTAAAGCTGAAATCCAATAATTCTACTTTCTTTCATATCTTTGATTATGGTGCAATGATCTACTCTTCAATTTCTTTCTGCAGGTTATGATGACTCGGTCTCTTCTAGTGTGCAGACTCGGACATATAGCGATTGCTTAGTAGATTCTTTGTTAATGGAGGCAGAGAAGCACAAAGACATTGTTCTGGTCCATGCAGGAATGGAAATGGAACCCTCCTTTCAAGTGCTTCAGGAAACATTCGCTGACAGGTTTTTCGACGTGGGAATGGCCGAGCAACATGCTGTCACATTTTCCGCCGGTTTATCTCGTGGGGGATTGAGACCTTTTTGCATTATTCCTTCTACTTTTCTACAGAGAGCATATGATCAGGTATATCTGCCTCTCTGCTATGTATATAAGCATATCAGAGCGATAAAAGTTTTCAACTTCTGAGCTGTTTATTATTGGGTTTTCCCCCAGGTGGTCCATGATGTAGATCGGCAGAAGATTCCAGTGCGATTTGTCATCACAAGTGCAGGATTGGTGGGGAACTCCGGTCCCGTGTACTGTGGGGCGTTTGATGTGACATTCATGTCGTGCTTACCGAACATGATCGTTATGGCTCCATCTGACGAGGATGAGCTGGTGGATATGGTGGCTACCGCTGCCCAGATAGACGACCGACCGGTCTGCTTCCGGTATCCAAGAGGCGCCATAGTCAGGACAGACCATTTTATGCATCCTGGAATTCCCCTCGAGGTGAGTAAAATTTTTGTATCCATATACTCAAAACTGTTTCAGGCTCTTGGGCTTTGTTTTTCTAGTCATGATACTGCGACAGATGTATTGTTGACATGGGTACAGAGACTAGAAGCACCATTAACCCTGTGTACTACTTTGTTTCTGATCTGGGCTTTCATTACACTTTGAACCAGATTGGTAAAGGAAGAGTGCTTGTAGAAGGCAAAGAGGTGGCATTGCTAGGATATGGAGCAATGGTTCAGAACTGCCTCAAAGCTCAAGCCCTTCTTTCGAGGCTCGGCATCGAAGTAACAGTCGCTGATGCAAGATTCTGCAAACCACTTGACACAGAGCTTCTCACCCTGTTGTGTGAGAACCATAAGTTTCTAATCACAGTTGAGGAAGGTTCTATCGGAGGATTTGCATCTCATGTTGCACAGTTCATAGCTCTCAATGGCCATCTCGATGGAACCGTTAAGGTGAGTCACTCGCAACATTCACTCATAATGAACATCAGAAACTTCCATTTTTGGTAAAAGGTATAAAAAACGTGATTTTAAATGTCTATGCAAAATCTACAGTGGCGGCCAATTGTATTACCCGACAGCTACATCGAAAACGGGCTGCCTGAGGAACAACTAGCTCGAGCCGGATTGAGCGGGCACCATATAGCTGCAACGGTCCTGAGGCTGCTGGGAAGAGTGCGGGAAGCTCTCCTTTTGATGTGCTAACAGAAATAAAATAAACATCTCTGTAAATTGTTGATGGTTGAATGTAGTTTGGTCGCAACTAGTTTACATATGTGGTTTGTTTTTGGGGTATAAAGACCTCTAAACAAACTGCTAGCAGGGGACGACTCTTCTGGGTGGTAAAGACTTGGCAATGCAAACATAGAAATGACTGGTACAGAATCATAACGCTGCCCTAGCAATGTAAACTTGGAAAACACGGAATGAGCTCAACGATAGAAATGTTTATTTATGTCGCGGACCATCGATCATTGCTCAGTCCTTGTAGCTGAAGAAAGCTTGTCGGCAGTACGCAGTGTCTGCTCGTCGATGATACGAACCTCGATTCGTTAAGTGCTTGACTTGACCATGTAGGGTGTAAGTTTGACCGTAAAAACCCACTGATCCGTCCCGTCCCTGAAGGTCGGGACGGGTCAGTTTGTCTATAGGGCCAGTTTAAGGACGGATCAACTTTTGACTCTATAAGGGTTGGGACAGGTCGGGACAACTTAGAGACGGGTCATTTTTTGACCTGTGACCCTTAGCAACAATAAATATCCCATACGACATTGGACCTCTTTGTAAAAGTTTTCAAAGTTTAGGTACTAAATTGCAAAAATAACAAATTTTGAGTACCAAAATGTAATTATACCACTAAAATTTAAGGACTTTTTGTAAAATAATAAATTTTAGGTACTAAATTGTAAGAAAAAATAATTTTGGGTACAAAAACGTAATTTGTAAAAAAAGTAGTGTGCAAATTAGGGTTGCCCACTGACCCGGCCCATCCCGACCCGTCTCATTCCTTAAGTGTCAGACAGTGTCAGGAAGGAAACACGAACAGATAATTATACATCTTGACCCTTTAAAGATGAGTCAGGCAGAATCAGACACGTGTCAGACAATTTTCAGCCATAGACCACGAGGCCATTTATCAACCCACTCGGATGAGAATAAGAATCGATCTAATGATGCTAATGTGATCGTGGGCCCGGCTTGGAAGGCCTTGCTCCCTCCCGCACTGGATCAGCGCGGCCCGTTACTCTTTCCTTTGCGTTATATGGCTGGGCCAACAAATCAAATCTGGCCACTGTTTAATAGAGGCGAGATCTTTATGTGCGACAACGATCATATATTTGGGGTTCCGTTTTCTTATCTATGTAGGATTCCGGATCCAGAGGCGTCAGCGTAACATCCAAGTGGATTTCGGATCAGACTCGGCCCACCAGCTTAACGTGAGCCCAAATTACCAGAGGCCCGGGCAACGTCAGCCCAACGATCTCTTTTTATCATGGTAATGGCATTATGCATGCACGTGGACATTCTAAACATGTACGTACAAATATAGGCTAAACTAGTTTGGTAAGCTAGCTAGTTTGATAATTAGATAGGGTGGGTAATGTCAGTTAATTGTATAAGTATAGGCTAAGCTTTGTGCATATTCCCTTCTCTAGCGAGCGAGCTAGAGCTAGCTCTGCCTAATCAACGTAATTGAGCTATCATAAATCGTCACGAGCTTTTTTTTTTATACATGAATTCAGTTTAGGAGTTAAATACACTTTCATTGTCTAATGATTCGTCGGACTGAACTCTAGCGAGAACTTTGAAGTGATCGATCAACCCAAATCTCGTGGATTCGTAAGTTTCTCCTTTCTTCGTTGTCAACCTTTAATGTATTGAATACTATCTTCAAACTTATCGAAAAGAGAGTAGTTTACCTATATTTACCAAACAATATTCGAAAATATAAGCGACTCGATGGTAGGCTATCAACCATATTCTCCTCCAATACGTACCTACTCTCAGAGGTCTGATTCCAGGAAAGTTGGTGACGAACATAACACAATATTCCCACTATCATGGGTGGTTCTAAGCATGAATCCCCAAAGAAGGTCGAAAAAAAGAGAGGAAGAGGCTCTCTTTTTCTAAAAGGAGGGAGAAGGAGAGCTTCGAGGAGCAATACTTTGTAGCAAAGCTATATATACAGACACGTAATTCCACATCAGATTGAATGTTTGGTAATGCGTTGCAGAGCTCATCACATGGTGGCTTTCGGTATTGAGCTAACAAACAGAAGGCTGGTTAGCTGTTGTGTAGGGAGGGATCATATAGATAGCCTAAATAAGACCTAAAAGGGAAACAAAGCAAGAAGCTATTGGAAAGTAGAGAGTGAATAATATTTGGATATTTGAGAGAGTTGGGAGAGAGTGAGGAAGGTGAGCAGGTTCTTTGGGGCTTTCTCCTTTGCCGTTGGTATTCCTTTGCCTAAAACCGAATCTCAGAAAAACTACGTACCACTTTCTTTACTCGCCTAAACTCGTTGCCATGATGGTGACAATATAGCTAGGGTTAGCTATTGAAGGAAAGGAGTTTGGTTACTGAAACTCAAGTTCAATTAAAAGTGCATATGAGTTCATTTAACTTCGAGCCAGTACTAAGTCATTATAATTGAGTCAGCTCAGTGGCGGATACATGCACGTTTAGGGGTGTCCCGAGACACCCCTAAATTTTGAAAACACGATTATTCAACCTTTGATAGTAGTTTGCGTATGAGGAAAAAAAAATTAAGTGGTAGTGAGACACCCTTAAAATTTGGGAAAAGGATTAGCCAACCTCAAGCAGTAGTTTCCGTATTGATACAAATAATATTCAAGTAGTAGTCTATGTGATTTAAACTTGAGACACTTCACTATATATATATTAGTAAACATATTTTCAATTACACTACAAATCATTTGTTATTGTGTTTCAGATCCAAATATAATAGTAAAATGTTATTCTTATCCCAAATTATTTTCAAGACCGAACGATTAAATCCAATTAAGGGATACCCTTGTTTAGTGGGATATGTCGATAGATATTTATTGAGCAATATAGACACCGTATGTATTTTACTATTTTACGAAACACATTAGAACTTTTAATGTAACTTTTACTAGTCAAATATTTTTAAATTTCTTAGAAAGGAAACTTCTATTTAGAATTTTTGGATCCGCTACTGGGTAAGTTATGTGACAATAACATGGAAGTAATATAAGATTGCGATGATCAAGTGAGTTTGATTTTTAGGGAGATGAGTCTTTGGGGTACTTTTATTATCTCTTGAGCTCATAGATGAGTACTACGCCTAGCTTTTCTATTATATATTTGTAATTATGATAAGAAAAAAAACACTTACAACTACATATATTCGTAATTAATGATAATTATGCAAAGTTAGGTGCATGTCGCATATTATCAGCGTTTCCTAGATTTATGATCCTTGCTCAATCACCAAGATGGAAACCCCCCCTTGTTCAGTTGGTAGTAGTTCTTAATTATCTCTTTTGGACAAAACAAGGCCACCCCAAAATTGTTGAATATTGATGATTTTGTTTCTTCGCCTGTTTGTGGCCAGCAAATTTTTATATAACTATACCATTTTTATCTAGAAATTGGGTTGGAAAATGCAATTTAAGGCTACAGGGTTGTGTTTTTTGTTATTTTTCTTTGTCAAAGCATAAGGGTGTATTATCTATAATCAGTTAACTGGCATCTTTGGGTATCAGTTTCTTTAATCGATTAACATCCAAAATAAGTTCCTGATTCACTTAAATCGGAAATTAATGATGAATTTGGTCCATCCATGGAGTTGGCGCTTAGCTTGCGCCAATCGTTGATCCACGCAAAGCGTGTTACTAAAAGTGTGCTTTTTTCCATTACGTGATGAATAATTATTAATTACTATAAGTGTGAAACTCTCATTAATCTCATACATACACTATATTTATATTAAATAATTTGTTGTCATACTTAAATTAATATTTATATAGTGTTTAAGAAATATTGTTATTCTTTGTGTATGATCCGAATATATGGTTTGAGAATTTGGCACGTATATACCAAAACTAATTTAGTCCCTTCGGGGACACCCACGATATTGATACAATATAAGTTAGTTTATAAGTGAAAACATTTAACTATGAATTGAGATATATTAACTTTTGGCTGAATGTATAACATGATCATGTTACAATATTTCAATTTTTTTATCATCACACTCACAATGACTCGTTTATCCAATCTTAAAATCGTTGTATATAAAGTTTTACAAAAAAAAAAAAACAATAGTTCATGACATCTTAGTGCATGAACACTCAAAATAAATATCTAAACAATATATGTCATTCCGGAAAAAGGCTAGGGTACACCCAACGTACGGTATACACCTATGTTCACACTTAATTATTTATTAGTTATTAATAAAATTTATAGTTACAATCACATTAATTTATTTCTCTTTATGCTATAGTCCCACAACTTTTGTTGCCATTTGTTATGTTTAACTCAATCGTCCAAGTAAAAACTATATCAATTATAGCTCTTTCTTTCCCCAAATGATAACTTTGAATATCCAAATTGTTGTATTGATATAGAAGCTCCAATTGATATCCTTTACCTATTGATGGGATTTTGTTTCGTTCTCGTTCAAAATAATCAAAGAACTATGAGCTCTTTCTTTTTAAATAATAATCTGGTAGTGTAAGAATAGGGATAAAGCTGAAACTGAATTCCAGAACAGACTAACCTGCCTTTTGGAACTAATCAAAGCATCAATTCTATGATTCTATCTAAAGTAAATTTTGTCATGAGCTATGTAACAGAACACGCACCTCTTGATGCGAGGAAGATGGGGAAGGAATTTAGAATATGATAAGCTTTAAATTTTTTTAGGGATTGTTTTCTCGAGTTTAATCATACCCAGTCTTCGCATTGGGGTTAAAGTGTGAGAATTATAATTTAGAGAAACAACCAAGAGGAAAAGAACAGAGCACAAACTATGGCTCAAGCTCAGCGTCTACATTATCTTTGTCCAAGCAATCAAACTGCCTCCTCCATCAAACGAGACAAACCTTCATCACTTTGCATCTCTTGTGTATCCATAATTCATATATCGTAGCCTAGACCACATATGCTCTGTTTTCCAATACAGAGACAAAGACATTTTATCCACTTCAAAAGACAGGGAGGAAGACCCATTTCATCAAAGCAAGCAAACCTACTGCAATTTCCGAATCCACCTTATTAGCCGCCAGCAACCATATGGAGATAAGCCTTACAATTTTAGGTATCGACACACTCATTGTCGGATTCTTAGCATCAATAACCAGTTCTTGCGGCATGAGAATCATATCGTTACAATCACGGTTTTTGCTTTTTACTGGAGGATAGGGTACAGAAAAGACGTTGTTTATGGATAGGTGCGATATTTTAGTATCACTGTTTTGTTACAAGGAGTCTCTGATGGGGATAATCAAAGGTTTCTCGATCGATGATGGCTGCCGATGGGATCCGATCTGGATTGTGGAACTGTGAGATATGGTAATAGGAAAACAGTAATCAAACTCAACTACCCACAGATGAGGATGAAACTAGGGACTTTTTGGTTAACATGAGTGGAATTGGTGGTGAGGAAGCGACCCAATTGCATCAAGAAAGCAATCGTAATTTAAGAACATGTCTATTTTGAGTATTGAATGATGGATCAAGTGGCATGGAATTAGCTAAACTGGGTTTGTGGTTATGACGAGGAAACAAATGCTCCGCCCATTTGAACCTTCTATGATTTGGCCCCTATTGGTGTATTTATAGTTCGATCATGCTACGAGAGATGGTTGGCTCCGTTTATAAGTAAAAAATTTTTGTGGGACTTATATGGTATAAATAATAAATTAATGAATGTAGTCGTAATTATAATTTTTATTGATAATAATATAATGGTAATTAATCAATAAGTGTGAACACAGACGTACAACATACACCAGGTGTACACTAGTCTGAACCATGTTATTACATAATTTCCAAAATTTAGACTAACGTGCAGCTAATATTGTAAATATTTGGATCCAATCTTACCCAACGTAACATACTCAAATTATTTATGCTATGCAATATATATAGACTACAACTTGCTAGTGCATATGAAATATAACTGTGTTTTTTTCTTATTATAAACACGGTGAAAATTTTATATATTGTTTAAATATATAATATATGGTAGCAATGTTTTAGATGGTAACTTATACCTAAAAGATATAAATATTTTATTTAAGAAAAATACATGGAAGAAACGTAAAAGCACGTTGAAATTGGAAAAGAAAAAAAATCCAGAAATGGAGGAAGTGTTCATCGAGGGCCGATCCTTTTGTTTGTTGGATTTCTTTTATTTTTTTTTATAAATAATTTGATTGGTTAGAGGCTGTGTTGACGTGGACGCTTGAGAGAAGGAGAATTTTGAATTCGTGAAGTCTTTTTTGAGAAACCCCTTATAATATTCTTTAGAAGCTAAATACTTTAAGTTGTTAGCCTATTGATAAATGATAATACGATGGCTATAAAAGTTATCACTACATGAGTTCGAATTTAAGCGTCAATAATCATCTAAGAAAAATGTTAATGCTAAATAGCTCGAGTGTTTTTAGATAAGTGCGTGGTATAATGTATGAGGACAGAAATCATCACAATATAAACCAAGTGTGTGAAACTAGTACATAAAGGAAAGTATAGTATATATCACAGTACATTTCATTTTATATGGTAGAAGAAGAATTTTTTTGGCTTCATTGTTAGAATTACACGTCACAAATCAGAATATAAATTGTTAATTGTAAGTATAGACAAAAATTCATTGTCACATATGATTCACCCTCATTATAATGTTCACAACACATTTATGAGAACCATCTCACAAGTGCTAGGGATTACTGGATTGCCAGTCGAGCTTTTCGGGAGCTGTTGAATGGATGTAATTTTAATTTTATAAATAAAATGTCACCATGTCCATCCAACGGCTGCAAAATATCCGTGTATGGTCCAACCGACCCCAAACACATGACTATGATGGTTCTCATAGAAATTGTTGTGTTCAGCGGCGGATCCAGAACACAGTAGAGCACTGTGCCGCATTTTATTAGAAAATTTGATATCGTAAAAAAATATTATGATTATAGTTTTTTTTACAATGTCAATTGTACACGACGGTCTTTTAATTTAGCAAATAAAAATACTTGAGCAATCAGCGAGAAATTCATTGCTCATTTTGTTGCGCAAATCAGTTTTCACATGTTTCATTGTTGAAAAGGTTCTCTCCGTGGTAGCTGTTGAAACGAGAAGCATCAACACTAGACAAATCAATTGACTAATCAATTTGCACTGTGTGTCTATCCCTATATCCACCATGCTGCTCTAGTAAAATTTTAAGGGAACAAACTTCATATTTCTTTTTAGTCTTTTACGCTTCAGACTTTAGGATTTTTAGTTTTCATTGTTTTTTTAGACGAAAAACCTTTGGGGCTAGAATTTCTAGGATAAATTTAGAGTAGTGAATTGAATATGTTCATCTGAATCATTTTTCTAATTATACACAATCATATTATAAAATAACACTGGACTGAATGACTAAAATCAACAAATTTATAAGGATTATTCTAACTCCGAATCCAGAAGAGGGCTGGGCCGGGGCCCGGGGTGGCCACCCCCTGGATCCGCCAATGGTTGTGTTGTTAGCAAGTTGGTAGTACAGGAGATAACCTTGTACCACTGATTTTCAGATTTAGTGAAGTCAATTTAATATAAAGAAACAACAAAACGAAAATGACCAATTTTATAATAATTAAAAGGTTCATGTAGCTTTCACTTATTTTTCTAAGAAAATCTCAAGTCTACTCCTTGTAGCTAATAAGATTCCCCAAGAATCTCGTGCTTGGTTGAGAGAGTTGAGACTTAATGGACCCACTAATTGTGTAGCCAATCCTAAAGTAAACAACAACAATCTATTGGTCCATTTCATGCCTAACACCACGACTGAGAGATGCCAAGTAGCAATTGGCAGCACACCTCCAGCCGATATTTTCGTCAATCCAACGACATCAACAAATACTAACGCTAACCTCGTCCGCATTTTAGCAGAATTCCTGTCCAGTGGTCAGCCAACCTTCCTAAACCGTGCAGCAAAGCAAAGGAACGTCGACCACGTCACCTAACAAAACTTCAACCCAAACAGCAAACAAAAAAAAATAACAAAAAAAAAACGAAAAATTAGGTTTACAAAAAGGGCCCCACAAAACCCGTTCAATCTTTTGAACGCGACCCAACCAGAGAGAGAGCTCTCTTCTTCTTCTTCTTCTCCCCGACCCCGTCTTCCCTCTTTCTAACAGCAGCACAGAATTCAAGGCCACCCGCCAATACTCCATTACTCTCTCCCTCTCTCTCTTCAGTCTCGTTGTCCGGAGCCAATTCCTCTGCGCTCCGTTTTTCGCGCTATACAGAAAATCTCGACCAATAACAGCAATAAGACGAAAAAACAAATTGCAAAAAAAAAAAAAAGAAATTGATAAGTCAAAGCGCCACCGTTGATCCCATCCTTTCAAATTCCGGCCACTTTCGCCGCCGTCACTCCTTTACCCTACACTTCTTCTTTTTAACCTTTCCGCCGTTCTCACTGATCGATTCAACGCGTGATACAGTCAGTCGAGTACTTTTCCGCTTTCCTTCCGATTATTTTACTCTTCTTATAATTATTATCCTAGTCTGCAGAATCCCGTTACGCACAGTTTGGTTGATGAGAAAGTCAATGTTTGGTTGCTGAGCCTGAGAAGGAAAAAAGAAAAATCAATTCTGATTCCGCGCTCTATCGAATAATCTGACGTACGGAAGTCGGAGATGGACAGTCTCAGGACTCCGTTCAGAGGGATACTCGACGATCTGCGAGGCAGAGCCGAGTGCTACAAGGATGATTGGACCAGTGCCATTCGCGCCGGCGTCAGGTTTTCCCTTTTCTTCTCTCCCGTCTATTACGCCGTCCTACTGTTCGATTGAATGCCGCTTACAGGAAAACGAAAATGATTCTTCCGATTGTTTTGTCTGTCAGGATTCTGGCTCCGACTTGTTACATCTTCTTCGCCTCGGCTCTTCCCGTGATTGCCTTCGGCGAGCAATTGAATCGAGATACCGGTAATGTCGAAAACTGGTATTCGATTCGGTTTGGAGTTTTTTTGGTAGTCTCCGATTTTTTTGTTAAGATTGAATTGTGTTGTGTATTGATCTCTGTTGTGTAGACGGCAGCCTGAGCACGGTGGAGACTCTGGCCTCGACGGCGCTTGCCGGGCTAATCCACTCGATTTTTGGAGGGCAGCCGCTGTTGATACTAGGTGTAGCTGAACCGACGGTCATAATGTACACTTACTTGTACAGCTTCAGCCAAGGCCGGCCAGAGATTGGCCGCAAGTTATATTTAGCATGGGCCGGATGGTAAAGCAAATTGAAACTCCGTTTGTTTAATTCTAATTCCTCTTTCTAGCTTCTTCTAGTGACTTCAATGGGTTGACTGGTTTCATATATACAGGGTTTGTGTTTGGACGGCAATCATGCTGTGTCTACTCGCGATTTTCAATGCGGGCAACATCATCAACAGATTCACCAGGGTTGCAGGGGAGATGTTTGGGATGTTGATTGCAGTTCTCTTCATTCAAGAGGCCATTAAGGTTGCTTGCTACTAGTACTGTGGTGTTTTGCTTTCAATGGTGTTGTTGTGATGAACACAACTATCTAATTCTGTTGGTTGGAAAATGTCTTCAGGGGTTGGTTACTGAATTCAATGTCCCAAATTCCGAAAACCCGAAAGCAGAAGAGTTCCAGTTCCAGTGGCTATATGCAAATGGCTTGCTTGCTGTCATTTTCGCCGCTGGCGTTCTCTGGACTTCCCTCAAGACAAGAAAAGCAAGAGCTTGGAGATATGGTTCAGGTAAAGATAGATTTCACTAATTGTTATGTCATACACACTACTGTTTGTATTTACATTGAGCTGTAAGTTTATTCTTACATTTTGATTCTGATTGTGCTTGTAGGGGGACTTCGAAGCTTTATTGCAGACTATGGCGTTCCTCTAATGGTGGTGCTATGGTCGGTATTATCTTATGCTATACCCAAAAAAGTTCCTCATGGCGTTCCAAGGAGGCTGTTTATTCCACTTCTTTGGGAGTCACAGTCGTTGCAACACTGGACAGTGATCACGGTATGAAGTTTTTACTGATTGGTGGATAATGCTGTGTTCATCCCATCTGCCATCACTATAAGAAATGACATGGGCTTGAAACCAAATGATGAAGTGGTACCTTAACGACATCTTGAATGGAATTGCAGGATATGGGGAAGGTACCAGTGGGATACATCTTTGCTGCCATAGTGCCGGCCATTATGATCGCTGGCTTGTACTTCTTCGATCACAGCGTAGCATCGCAGCTGGCACAGCAGCCAGAATTCAATCTCAAGAAACCATCTGCTTACCATTACGATATCTTGTTGTTGGGAATCGTGGTGCGTAATTTTCGTTTCCCAAAATTGAAAGAACAACATCATTAACATTCTCAATCTCATGATGAGTAACTTTCAGTCTTGTTGTTCTTGTTGTTGGTGATGATGATTGTGAAAGACTTTGATGAGTGGATTGCTGGGGCTTCCTCCTTCGAACGGTGTCCTTCCTCAATCTCCTATGCACACCAAAAGCCTTGCAGTTCTAAAGAAGCAGGTGAAGTACAAGAGAAATTCCCCATCCATGTTTACACTTTCATGCCTAGAAGTTCAGGCAGTAATTATACCTTTTCGTAATCTTTTTTTCAGTTGATCCGAAAGAAGATGGTGAAAGGGGCCAAGGAAGTCATGGACCGCAAGGGAAGCACTTCTGAAATTTACGGGAAAATGCAGGATGTTTTCATACAAATGGATAGATCTCCAGCAGTAAGTTACTTATGCCTACAAAATTCTTTCTACTTGGCAATTGGTAAGATATATAAGCTTATGGTAGTGCCAATCTTTCTTCAGCACACTGCATCAGTAAGTAGAGAGCTGGAGGACTTGAAAGAAGCAGTGATGAGAAGTGACGATGAAGGAGGCGATACAAAGGGAAAGTTCGATCCAGAGAAGTGCATCGACGCACACTTGCCCGTCAGAGTCAACGAGCAAAGGCTCAGCAACTTGCTACAATCAATCCTGGTGGGAATCTCAATGTGTGCTATACCACTAATCAAGATGATGCCCACTTCAGTCCTGTGGGGATACTTCGCCTACATGGCCATCGACAGTCTTCCAGGAAACCAGTTCTGGGAAAGGATGTTGATGCTCTTCGTTGCCCCTAGCCGTCGCCACAAGTAAGAAGATCGATCTGGCTGAAACCTTTCATTCGCATTAGAATGTTGATGGCCAAATGGGTACTTATCAGTTTTACCAATCTCTGTATGCAGGATCTTGGAAGGTTTCCATGCATCGTTTGTGGAGTCAGTGCCGTTTAAGGCCATTGCTAAGTTCACTTTGCTGCAATTCGTTTACTTTCTCATGTGCTTTGGGATCACTTGGATTCCCATAGCTGGGATTCTCTTCCCTCTGCCTTTCTTCATCCTAATCCTCATCAGACAACACATGCTCCCCAAGATATTCCAGCAAGACCATCTCCAAGAACTCGATGCCGCGGAGTACGAAGAGATCTCCGGCGCTCCCAAGAGAAACCTCATGGTAATGAAAATTTCCTGCCAAAATTTATTCTTAACCCGTTTTTGTAGACCCGAAGTTACTCTGTTTTCATACTCTGTTTTCCTCTGTACACTACAGGAAATGGATTCAGGGGAGATCAGGCGGAACGAGCACGACGAGGACTTCTTCGACGCGGAGATACTCGATGAGATGACTACGCATAGGGGAGAGTTGAAGCATCGATCTCGTAGCGTGAGGGAGGAGAGGGTATTCCAGGCAAGTTGAATAAAGTTTTTCACTTGATGTAAAAATTTGGCGAATGAAGCTTTCATGTGATGATAGCAATGGCGGCGGTTTGTTTCACAGGTCCATCCAGCAGCAGGAACAGGTGAAGGGAGCGGCGGGCCAAGACAGGTGTGAAGCAGAGTTATAACATGGTGTCGAGACCTGATATATAGAAAGCATATATAGCTGAAATAAAGGGAGCTCTGTTCATTCTATCATATGATGACGATGATGATGATGATGGCGACCATTATTACTCAGTAGATGCAAAACAACAAAGCTCGGAGAAGCAGAGAGTTAAGTTTCTTTCTGCCTTGGATTTCAAGTGTTGCATAGAGAATTGAGATTACCACAAGCTAGCTGTTGGTATATGTTCTGAATGTTGGGGGAAGAGAGCGAGTTTCACTTTCAGATGGTTTGGTATTAATATCTTCGAAGAGGAGCAGTTGGTGAAGAAGAAATAGAGAATTCTAGTTAGTAGAACTGATTAGAAGTTTGAAGTTATATATGCAGTTGTTTTGAATTTTGATGGATGCCAAAAGTGTCAAAAGCATTGCATATACCTATTTAAGGTATTTTCCCTTCTATTAGTATTCAGTACCGTACAGACTGCCTCCTCCCGTCACTGATAATAGGTCTCTGGAGAAATAAGCATTGGTGACGGAAACAGAACATTCGCAAACGAATAAACAGCAGTCCCTAAAAAACTAAAGGAATCGAAATTCCATTCCCCGAGTAGAATAACTAGAATTAGAAGCAGTTTTCTGAGGAGCAGGTGTCGCTAGGAAAACAGGACTGACTCTCATTCATTGGGACTTATAATCGAATCTCGTCGAATAATTCGACTTATTAAAACCAACTATTTAGAGATATCCTCTCCATCTCACCTGTTAGTATCACTCTTAACTCGTTAACTCAACCCCACAAATCACCTGAGTATCATCTCTTTTTCATCACTCTCCAATTCTCTAATCTTTCTCAACAAATTCTGAAATTGAGGAGTCAAGTTCAGGGAAGCCTGGTCAAAACAAGAGTTGGGGTGTGCTGGGAAGGGAAACTGATGGTAAAATACAATATTAAGCTTGTATGGGAGCAGTTCAGGCCTAAATAAGAAGAGAAGGCATGGTCTAAGCTGGTTTGGAAGCCAATTCTAATCTCTAAGAATTCCCTAATCATCTGGCTTGTCACTCTTAACAGAATTTCTACCTTTGACAAAATAAAGAAATGACAACCAGAGGTAGTCAACCAATATCCTTTATGTTTGGGGCATGAAGAGTCTAGGGATCACATCTATTTTGAGTGTCCATATGTACAGGAGGTGGTTAGTGTCGTCTTTCCAATGAACTGGGGTTATCCCTCTCGAGCAGGATAGGATGATGGATTACAGGTAGTTGTAGGAACTTTGCAGGGATGCTGTGTGGGTAGATTGCTTTGGAATTTTATGGTAAGTGAGATTTGTAGGGAGAGGTGTTGCAGGGTATATGGGAAGAAGTCTCTAAATGCAGCAGACTTAATAACCAAACTGAGGAATGCAATGGAGGCCCTGATGGTGTGCAATATGCAGCTAAGTTTAGAAGTGGAGCAGAAGAAGCTTTGGTTCATGTAACTAAGTCTAGTAGTGTTTTTTTGTATTCATTGTGTGTAAATTGTAGGCTGAAGTAGAGGCAGATAGTGATGCTTATAGGTGTATGTTGTATGCTGGATTGTTGTAATGACCGTACTTTGATGGAATAAAACTTGCGTATTCATAAAAAAAACCCCTTATGCCCTAGCCCATAGCCACGAATTGGAATACTCTCGATTTGAAGGTGATAGATTCATTAGCATACACGATCTTTCTAGAATATGCTATTTTGAAAATATATAAGAGAGATTTTTTGGGAAATAAAATTACACCAAAAGACAAAGGAAATCACGGAGAGAAAGATATAAGGCTCGCCACCAATTTTTATTGATAAATATCCTGGCAAATTTATTTGATTTCTTAGCAACCAAACAACAATGACAGAGAGTATTAGAATCGAAACTGAAAAACAATGAAAAAATTTCAAATAAAATTATGGTACGCCCGCAAAGCCTTATTTACTTTCGGCGTTTCCAGTTTTCTCCTTTGAATTTTGTTAATGGATCAGGTTGCTGACGTCGTCGAATCGACGCATGGCCCAATCCTCATGTGCTAACGTCGATAAATTCTGCATGTCTCATTCATCAACTGTTGAATGTGCACAAGACAAATTTAGAAAATCTATCTCCACGCACATATGACAATTAAGAATCTGCAACATGTGTAATCTAATTGTGCTTTCTTGGAGGCCCATCAACAAGCTAACCGAAGTTCACTAGTTTCATATCCTCTCACTGTCCCTTCTTATTGTTTACAACTTAGGCTGCTAGCTTTAGTCCCTCTCCCCCTCGTACCATTCCTTCCAAATTTTTATTGTTACTAAAAAGAAAAAATCATCTTTGCCATCAATCAAGCTCCATGCTTAGGTGAATATTTAGTCTTTAATTCTGTATCCTAGCTAGCTAGAAAATGATTTCTAATCACGGAATCAATTAACTGGCGACAATGATGTGGTCACCATCTCTTATCAATTCTATATCCTCAACTTGAGCTCCTTCTTTGTTCAAGATCTTAGATGGGCTGAAACCATACTTCTTGCCTCCAATCTCCAAAATTTCCTCGAGTGACTTTGGTAGCAAAACCAACTTCCCATTAACATCACCTTTCTCCGGACAACTAATCGTCACTCGCGCTGGAGGGTCACTTGCTAAGCTTGACAACCCAGAAAAGCTGCCTCCAGCTGGCATCACATCGCCCTCACCTACAAAAAAATAAAAATAAAATAAGGATCATAATTTTTTAGACTTGTCTGTTCCCACTTGCCCACCCTATTTGAGGCTAATGTGTGAATATTGAGGTACCCAATTCTTACCATAACATGTTCTTATTACTACTAGTTTCAAAAAAAGAAAGTGTTAGTTAGTTTCAATAGTTGACTTACCAGTGTTAGCTGCAGACATTATCCCAAAAAGTGAATTCCTGAAAGTATTAACTCTTCTTCTTCTGCTGGAATCATCGGTCCATGTCCTTTCAGGTACAGATGGCATGACGCCTCGCGGCGAGTAATCCGTCGATGGATCGTAGGGAGCTATCATGGGTTCACTACCGTACTTGGCAATTCGCTTCTTTCCAATAACAGTACTGCTGCTGCTACCACCTCCTAGCTTGGATGCTTGACTGATGGTGGGAATTGGTCTCTTGATTACTTCTTTCCTGTTTTGGAATAATGTTTTGATCTCGTCATGGCCTTGATGATCTGCCAAAGCCCTCGCCGTCCACCCGTTGGAATCTGGCAAATCGATGTCGGCTCCTTGGTCTAGAAGGAACTTAACGATGTCGATGTTTCCTTCAGATATTGCTGCGTGAAGAGCTGTGGTTCCGCTGCTTGTTTGTCTTGTCACATCTCCGCCGTAACTAACGATTTTATTCAGCAAGTCCAAGTCGTTTTGCTCAACCGCGGTGAATGCGAACTGACCTGTGTCGCCCGAAGAAAGTGTAGCACCATTTTCCACAAGCAACTTGATTACAGATTCGTGCTTGCCAAGCATTGCATCCCACAATGGAACGTTTCCTTCAGAATCTGCTCAAATAAGATAAATCGAGTTAGTATAATCTAATGACAAATAGATTAGGATTTGTTTGATTCAACTCATGCATGCCTCCAATCGATCTAATGAACGTTACACTATTGATTGTACGTGTTTTTTCCCTAACAACTACACATACCTTTTTTGTTAGGATCTCCTCCATATTCCAGAAGTAAGGCTACACAATGATCATTACCACTTGAAGCAGCAATATGCTGTTGGATATAAGTATTACAGAAGGATGAGCTGGGGAGTATCATTTTTTTCAAAAGAAAAAAAGGTTGTACACCTAACATGTAATAAAAAAAACAATGTAATTAAGTTTTATGCAAAAAACGGCAAGGCATATGGCTTACCATTGCAGTTCGTGCACCATTGTCAGCCTCATTTGGGTCTGAACCACGCTTTAATATATGGTGCAACAATAGATCGTCACCTCTCGTCGCTGCAAAACACAAAGTAAGAGGCAGATCCATTCTTCCCTGTGCCAACATGTGCTCTGTCTCTAATAAAATTTCTTGCATGATTGGATCATTATTTTCCTTTAAATGCTGCATCAAGCACGTGATAAGAGAAAGTGGCGAGATCATTAATACAACACAAAAACGATTTCACATCAGAAAGAAACCAAAAAAAAAAAAATGTCCAGTCTAGCTACCTGAAGAACATTGTTCATTATTATTGTCCCATCTCCAACATTAGCTTGAATAAGATTTAAAAAGGCAGTTCGATTCAAACGTAGAAGCTGACTTAATCTTTTGGTTCGAACTGTGAATAACTGTGGCCTGTAGCATAGCACTCCAATCTCACCAACCACATCCCCAGTCCTTGCCTCACCAACAACATGCTCTATGGCATTCTTATGCACAATATGCTCCTGCAAATACACATGTTTTCTTGTAAGCAAACATCGATTCTATCAGGGGTATAATTCTTATGTTAAGAAAATAATAAAGAGATAATTTGAACATACTAGTATTAGCAAAAAAAAAAAAAAAGTCCATCCTTTTCTTTCTATTGAACTCTCTCAAACTTTTGAAAGGGAGGGGAAACATAGCCAATTGTAGACATTTAAGTTTTAATCAAAGCTTATAACACTTCTCCTTCCGACTTTCCAGCAACTGAATGACGACGATACTTTGCAAGATCGGTTGTTTTTCTCTTTGTTCCAAGTGCAACTATGTTATACCATAGTCTGAAGATAGATAGATATTACAAAATGAGAACAAGTACTTACCACAACACCGGAGACCAAAAAGTACATATCTGTGGGTGCTTCGTTCTGTAAAATTACATCTTCTTTGGGAGGAAAGTACTCTGCCTTCATTTCTGATACCTTAAGTAAATTCAAATGATTAGTTAGCCTATTAAAATGCACAACCGTGAAATCCGCAAATGGAAGCACAAATTTTGATTTAACTGTTGATTGTATAAAAATGATAGCATAACTAAATTGTAGGTTGACGAGGCAAACAAATAAGGAATCTTGTAATGGGGTACTATAATTCCTGAGAAAGGGGGTCTCAAACAAACGAAAAACAATTGATTGAAATTTTGGTAGCAGATTTACCAATTGGAAAAGCAAGTCATTTGATACGCCACGAAACAGGTACACCCTATCAACGAGTGAGTAAAATAGATAGTTTGCAATACTGGAACGAATGGCTTTGGGAAGTGAATCGATGGCCTCTTGTTGATGCAGTCCCTCTGAATCTGTTCTGTACTTTAAAGTCAAGTGTGCAATCATCTGATCTTGCAGTCGAACAGGTAAACGATTCCTTTGTGCAAAACTTGATGCAGCGTGAATTGTATCTCTCTAAGATCACATGAAATACGTTAGCAACATATAATACACACGAATATCAACATAAAAGTTGCATGCATTTAGTCAAAGTCATGGAAAAAAATCACTCACAAATTGTCTGGTGCGAGTGGCCGCATGAACCACCAAGTTGGTCATATTTCCAATAATGTAGGATGTCAGCGCGAGATTGAACAACATATACATCACATCAAACGTCATTTCATTGGGGTTCACAGCATGTAGGTCACCATATCCAACTGTAGCCATTGTTGTTATAGACCAATACAAGGACTTTATATATTGAGAGTACAGTGACTCTGTTTTAAAATCTTCCCAAACCGATCCAATCCAAGTCTCCGTGGGGTTAAAATAATGTGCAGCCAAACGGTAAAAGATGCATGCAGCCATATGAATTACGAAGAGTGTAACCTAAATAACAAAAACCAACCATTAGTATAAACATTAAGACACTTTTTCCAGTTCATAATATGAGAAGAACTATAAAAACTTACAGAAACGAGCTTCGCACAACGAGTCCAGAAATAGCTGTAATTCTTATCTTTTTCCAATCTGTTTGACACAACCAAGACGCCATAACTTAATTTAGGAATCCCAACTAGGTAATGGCATTGTGAAATCTCGATTTCTAATCCTTAACCCAAATCGAATTTACCTAGCAAAGAATCGACTGACTCGTCGGAGACGCCATAGGCGGAGCATACTGACATAGCCGTAGGACTGAAGGTTGTTCGGCAAGATCACGCGAACAAACTCGGATGGAATCGTGGAGATGAGATCGAGGAGGAACCAAGTCGTGACGTACCTCGTAGCAATCTCCTTCTTTGAATCGATGATAAGGTACGAGGTCTTGTCAAGATACGCGACGAAAAAGGTGAGCACGATGTCGACGAAGAAGATGGCGTTGACGATGTTGTCGGTGATGGTGAGCAACCCACTCGGGCGGACTAGGAAGCCAAACTCGAACGGTGACACCCACGCTGTGTAGTAAACCAACAACACAAGGAAAGCCTCCCATGTCCTGCCAATTTTGTGTTTAGTGCACATTATATATAGTCATGTGGGGGAAGAGTTGAGAATTGAAATTCTTACCTGTAGTGAGGATCAAAAGGGGAGATAACGAATCGACCAACACTATTGCGGTGAAAGCTGCGAGTGGCGCCGAGAGAAGGGAGAATTTCTCCTGTGATACTGAAATGGCTGCCATCGTCGACGGAGAAACGCTCAATTTCTTTCTCGTCATACTTTCCACCAGTGAACATAGTTGTGCTTTTCTTCTTCCCCATGGTCGGTCAAAGCTTAGGTCTATCTTTCTTCTTCTTCTCGCATTTGCGGTTCTTTTAGAGGAGAGAAAATGAAGATGACTCCATTTGTGGTAGCATCCTGGTCTTGTACGGAGCACCATGATAAGGTGAGTGTGAGTTTCGTTTTCTGTTGTCATTTGCTGCTTGCTTTGCGTGGTCATTTGGCGACCCTCTTTTTCCGTTGTCTTTTTTATTATGTTTATATTTCTTCTAGGAAGCCCCAGTTAGTCAATTGTTTTTGCCGGATTTCCCTCTATCTCCTTCAAAAATTTATTTGTCCAATAATATATAATCATCTTATTTTAAAAAAAATTAATTTGATTTATTTGTTAAACTGTAAACATGTAGTTTCTTCTTAATCTTTTCATGTTTCCAAAAATGTTTTTTTTCCTGCAAATTGATTAAAAATGAATAGAATATAATACATTGAGCAATGTTATTTTGGGTTTATTTTTAATAAATGATATTTTTTTTCTTCAAAAAAGCGTGTCAAGACAGACAATGGCAGAGAAATTATCAATCTTAGTAGTTGTTTGCGTTTGGACAACGAAAAAATAATAGCTGATATTTGTTGTGATTCACATTTAGAGACATTGTAGTTACATAAATACATGTTTTTTTATTACACTATAAATCATCTGATAGTATGCTTAAAAGCTAAAACAAAAGTCCAATTAATTGCCAATTTCTCCAATTTTTTCACCAAAACACTAAAAACTAAATTCTCAATTCCTCATCATTATGATATTGATGAAACAAAGTAAAAAAAAAAAAAACGGCAAAGGTCAACAACTTTACCCTCCTCCCTCTCCACCATTCATGTTAACCAATCCCCATTCGAATGGTTAACCTCTATCTTCCAATCAACAAAACCATCTCACTTCAATCAGTTTTATAAGAGACGAATAAACTATATGAAACAAAAATCAGTTGTTGCTCTCATAATTTCCAACGATTGGACTTTGACCAAAAAAAAAATGAATGTTATAACCTAAATCAAATATTGTAATGAGAGAATGATAAGCAAAAAACTCAAAACACATGCATTACTAAACACAATGTCCTTTAAGAATAATAAATTACAGGAAACATAGACAAAAGAGAAGAGGAGTGGGAAAATGAGAGATTACTTGTAAAATACACCTACGCGGCGATAGTTTAGCATTTTTTTTTTACCAACAATAGTCACTTTTTGAACAGTACACAGGTATAGCTACACTTTAAAAATTTGTTTGACTAATTTAGTCATTTCCATTAAATACTATAACGGCAATGATCGTTCCGTTAGTTTAGTGAAAATTGCGCTGATGTGGCCGCCACCTGGGCGACACCTATTGTCCACCTAGACTGACATTGTCCACGTAATTGCCATGTCATTTTTTAATATTAAAAAAATTACCCTATCTAATATGGTCCATTGGCAGCCCTGATTTATTTTCCCCACTTCACCAGTAGTAGTTCCGTCTTACTCAGGGCCGGCGTTCGTTCCTATCCGCCGATAGGATGCATGTTGGCTTTGTGGAAGATTAGGAAGGTCCTTGGTGAGATGAAGTGTGATGGTGATGGACGCCGGGAGCACACGCTATCGGAAGCAGGACTTCGCAGTCGTCGATTGGGAGTGGCTCCGTCAACCGTCCATGGTCCTTCTTCGATCGGAAACAATGGTGTAGGTTTCGTCGAGTGAAAAGAAAAAAAGGGGATAGAGAGGAACACCGCCTACAGATAAAATGGGAAGATAAGAGAGAAGAAGGGATGTGAACAGACAATTGAATTTCTGTAAAGTTACAACTCACAAGTTAAATGAATTAGTGAGATTGCAGTGAAGGATTACGAGATTAAAAGGAGGATTCTAGAACAAGGGTTATGGTTTGTCTTTAATCGGGGAGTCGTGTAACTTGTGAAGGGCTTTTCTTAATTGTTTTTTTTCTTCGACACCTTCGCCTCCAGCAGCCTTGTACCTCCGGGACAATGCATGCAAATTTCTCAACAATTTATTGAGACCATTTGGTTTATGACATGGTATCATGGATTGTTTGTTCAACATGTTCAATTCCTCACAACTCCATTATTCACCGTTCTCTTTAAAAGCACATGGTATGGTTGGATGTGCAAACTTCAAGCCATGAATGGATTTTGGTTTGAAAGGGCGTGTAAGAAAGCGGTTAAGTATCATACATGAAATTTTCCCAACTTGAGTTTTTTTTTTTTTTTTTTTGTAAGGATGATATAGTATTAATCATATAGTTCAGTTTATAAAGAAGAAAGTAACCACCGAAGAAAACCAGAGGAGACAAAGAACAACAATTTGAGTTATTGACATCAGTTGATCTATTAAACACGTACCATGTTGATCTCCGAATACGTAGTTTAACTGATATTAAGGTAATGACTCAGAATTACATTGACCAATAGCAAGTTGGTACAATTTGATAGGATCTGAATAGGCCAAGAACCCTTCCAAATTGAGTCCTTAATGATCTCATATCTTATGTCTTTTTAGAAAGGATGAAGTAGTTTAATCAAAGCAACAACCGCTACCAAAAGAAAGTCGAATAGGTTATTGATCATTATTCTTCAGGAATCTTTGAAACCAAAGGGCAGATTGCTTAGGATATCGTTTAAGCCCATTTTTGTAGTCCACGTAATTAATGCCAAATCGAACCGAGTAGCCCATCGTCCATTCAAAGTTGTCAAACAATGACCAAGCAAAATACCCTTTCACCCTTGTACCATCCCTTGTAATGGAAAAACAAATACATTATAAGATTTTCTTTATGAATACATCAACTGAAAAAATTGTAGATTGTTAATAAAATTAATAGGGCACAATATACAACACGCCTTAAATTTTTAAGTGCATACAAAACATCTTTATATTTGTAAATTTTTATATATCATGATATATCTTACTTGATTGCACTATTGCGATAAGAGAGATGCTGACGATATAAGTCCACTCTCACAATGCAGTCAAAATCGTGTTTTAAAACTTAAAAACTTACGATTTTACGTTTTTAGGTCACCAAACGCTTTCGTTTTCATATAAAAACTTAAGTGTATAAAATCGAACTAAATTGCGCTTTAAAGCTTAAAAGCTTACGCTTTTACGCTTCTAGTTCACCAAAACGCTTTACGTTTTTACGCTTTTAGTTCACTAAATGAGTATTCTTTTCATGAAATTAATTATAAAAAGTATATTTTAAAAGTAAATTACCAACAATATGATACGTTTGAGATTAAAAGATACATATCATGTACTTGGATGCATTCTCAACTTTAATAGAGTAATCTAATTCATCAGCTAGGCTTTTCCTGAATGCATTAGCATAGAGGAAGAAGTGGCTTATTGTTAAAATTTATGTTTATAATCTTATTATTAAGATGCTACAAGTTGCTCTACTTGAGGCATGAATTGCATGTATTTATTAACTTATCTAAATTTCGTGCATTCATATTTTACATAGTATATGTCCTAGCTTTTTCGTTATTTTTCAGTATGCTTCAAAAACTTACGCTTTTACGCTTTGATTCTACGCTTTATGATTTTATCCCCTTTTCGCTTCTAGGTAGAATCGCGCTTTTGACTGCATTGCACTCTCAAGGTATCATTAAGAGCTTCCGTGAGACTTAATGTTTCGTTGTTGACCTCGCCCATGCCCATGCCTATGAATTAAGTATGATTGTTTTCCATAGAGAAAATGATAATTTTGTTAATCCTGCAAGCATATATATATAGAGCCTTCTAATTGATTGAGATCAAACTATGAAAAAACCAACTTTAAATCCAACACATTGGCTCACCATTTTCTGTGATGTAAATTAGTGGGTTATTGTATTTCTTCTTTGTGTAGAGCACAACATCTCTAATTCCTTTGGGGTAAATATACTGCCAAGATAGCCCTCCCTACACAATGAATTAGTAAGATACATTCAACTATTACTATTTTCTGATTAGAGTAAAACATTCTTTGCAATCAAGCACTAGGTACTACTTGGCACTTAATTTTGTCCAAATTTATGTGTAGAGAAATGATACTAGATACAATTTTGCATATATATTAACAATTTGTTTCGACTTAAGTCCTCGAATTATTGTAACCACCGTAACTAATTCCCTTCAGTTTCATGAACAATTTAACGATTGATTGGAGTACACATTACCTTTGGGCCGATGGGGACACCATTCTTCACAGCTTCATTAATAGCAATACATGAAACACATTATAAGTTGCAAGACAAAATGCATAATTAGGAGTTACGTTTAACTATTGTGTAGATGGTCGATTTAGTTTCAGTAAATTGCTTACGTGAAGCATTGGTTCGAGAATCAGTCGTTGAGCTTGAGAATAGAGGATTGGAAGGTGGTGCATTGGAAACATAGAAAGTCGTATAGTAGTTCAACCCCACAAAATCAAAGGAGCCTTTCAACATCTTGGATTCCTCCTTTGAGAATTTGGGCAATTGTTTCTTCATGATAGCTCTCATCGATCGTGGATAGTTTCCTGTGGCCAATGGATCCATGAACCTGCAACAAAGAAGTAGTGTTCTTATGATCATATGATTAAGGTTTGAGATACTGGACGAACTATTTTTGATCCTCGGACTCTATTCTACAAAAGAATATCCAAAATTGGATCTTATCATCATACTACGAACGTACCATCCGAGCATGAAATCCATTCCCCGTCGTGTAGCTTTGTGATCTTGCTTTGAATCGGAGAGAGGAATACCCCATTGCGACACGTGGGCAGTGCCAGTCTTACCCTTTTGTATTGCCTACAGACGAAATATAATAACCAACCTTAATTTCTTAAATTTGAGCATATCGCCGTCCCTTTGGGAACATTTGATAAAATTTGAAATATATAGATAGTTTACTTGATATTTCTCTCTGTACAACTTTACGGTCGTTGCATGAGCAAGGAGGAGGTTGTGTGCAACTATGTATGGCTCAGTGGCTGAGTCTCCCCCGGTGCAGTTCAAGTTCATCCATTTTGAACACTGGCCAGGTGCCATCATCCCCGTGCCATAGGCATACGAAAAGGTAACTATGTCCCACTCGATTTGAGACAAGGCCTATAGTTGATAGAAACTCCCAAAATAAGAGTCATCTTAGCTACGTTGATCTTTTTCGTGTAATTTGTGAGCGTAATTTTGCAGAAGTTTTTCGGATGTATTAAGGGATGTTATTTTGTCCTAATCTATAAATATTTAATAATCTAACCAATTGAGTTGGATATGAAATTTTAATACAAGGTAAATGAGTAAGTTTTGATGAGTTTATACACATATCCATTTATTTAGGTAAGGGTTTTAATCTATGAATTTGGATTTGCACATATATTCATATGCAAATTATAATTTGATACCTAAACTTAATAGATTATAAAATTTAGTACCTAAATTTAATTTTTTGCATATAAATTCTAAAATTATCAATGAAAATTTCCATTTTAGTGCCTCATTTTTTTTATACCTAAACTTGTAATGTTTCACAAATAGGTTATTCCCCGAGAATGGAAGAAAACGAATAATGGGAAATTTTTGTTTGATACCTAAACTTTTAATGTCGAACAAACTGTACGACAGAGGCTCGTTGATTGTGACCCAGTGTTGAACTCGATCCCCGAAGTGCTTGAAACAAACATCCGCATAGGCAACGAAGTCTTTCCTGGTATATGTTCATAGTATGTATCTTTTCGTTAGCTAGATGAACAAAAGGATGGATTTGTAACATAAAATTTCTAATACGTTACAAGGAAAGTGCAGGCATGGTAAGGGTACTTACACAACTTTAGGGCTAAGGAAGCCGACATATTCTCTTTTGAGGGCTTCGGGGAGATCGAAGTGGAAAATGGTGACAAAAGGTTTGACGCCTGCATGAAGGAGATCACGATTTTGAGGAATTTAGTTAATAAGGAGATTGCCTTAATGTGATTTATCATTGACTAGGAGTTCGTTGATGAGATTGTTGTAGTACTCGATCCCTTCTTGATTCGGACCTCCTTCGACTGTTCCATCTGATGATCATATGAATATATAATATTTCGTTAATTAACTAAGTAACTCAGATAATGAATGAACACTACCTCATAGTAAAAAAGTGAAAAAAGAAATCAAATAGAAAGAGCTATCGACAACTACGATCGATAGGTATCATACTTGGTAAAATTCCATCCCACGAGAGAGAAAATCGATAAGCCTGCAACCCAATACTCTTCATGATTGCAACGTCTTCCTATACACAAAATAACAAAACTAAAGGTCATTTACGTCCATAGATTTTGCTTAGCATCATTCAAAAGCTCAACGAACCGACATGAAAACAATAGTATAGGCCGTCGCTATTAGTTACCTTGTAGCGATGATATCCATCGATGGCCACATTCCCGTCGTTACCATCTGCTATCCTCTATGCCAAACCATCAAATGCTCGTGTTATGCTTCGTTTTCTTATCTCTTAAACCACTAACGGAAAATATTTTAGACATGTCATATGATTATAGGTCACTTGAATCAGGTTTACCTTTGGGCTTCGAATATGAATCGTGATCATTAGAGCTCATGAGAGAGCGAGATGGTCGAAGCATGCTTGCACCGCGAAGACGAATATGCGTAGATGATGAATCGTCTTGCTCCCCTCTGTATTTGTTAGTGTAAACATCCCAATTGATGGGTCCTTTTCCATCTTCAGCCACCGCGCCTTCCACCTGTACCCAAACGAACATTACTCCGTTAGCGAAAATCAACATTCGTGGCATTTTATTAACATTCGTGACCAACTCCTAGGTTGTTGCTAAAAACGTTTAAGGAATAGATACCATTGGTACAATCAGAGAATCTAGTTAGGTCGTGGTAATCATCAATCATCGCTTACCTGGTAAAAAGACGACGTCGAACCAAAGAGGAAGCCCGCCAAGAAACTCGAACGGTTAGCGACCGGAATAGGATCGCCGTTGCTAATTATAGTAGAGGGCGACATTGTACTACCACCGGTCTTCGCTGAAGACGATATGGCATGACCTAGAAGATAGAGCGCTGGTAGGATGCATGCTGCCTTTGTGGAAGATTAGGAAGGTCTTGGTGAGATGAAGTGTGATGGTGATGGACGCTGGGAGCACGCGCTACCGGAAGCAGGACTTGGCGATCGTCGATTGGGAGTGGCTCCGTCAATCGTCCATGGTCCTTCTTCGATCAAAAACAATTGTGTAGGTTTCATCGAGTGAAAAGGAGAAAGAGGTGGGTAAGGAATGGGGATCGCTGAAAAGAGTAAAGTGAATAGACAATTGCAAATGAAATGGCAGATCAAATAAATTGTGTAGTAAAAAACTCTACTGTCATAGTTTAATTGCTCTTTTAAAGTTTCCATAGAGGATATTGGTGGCTTGAACCTTCAAACAACAACATAAATTATCAACAAATAATACTTACGGATCATGGCCAAAAGAACTCCGTAGAGTTGCAAATTTTTGAGGCCCTGAAGTAACACAAAAAAAAAAACATTCAAGAAAGAGTTTAAAAGGAAAAACTCGCAACAGAAAGAGGAAATCCAATTTAAATACAAGATAATTATAGTTGATTAAGCATCAAATTAAGGGCAAATTTAGCACATCGCATCATTGCACGACATTACTCAAAGAAGCACAATGATAATCTAGCTCCGAGAAGCTTCAACTTGCAAAAGCAATTGAGAGAAAAGTCACCCATGAGAATTTGTCTATCAGATTGAGATATAGACTACATGACTGGATAAAGCCCCCAAATTTAGTGATTGCAGAGGTGTTCTCAAGACATCTGCCGAATCCACCACTACTCTCGGAGGCATAAATTTTGAGCCAGCTAACTCCTAAACCCAATAACGACTCCACAATAGCTATTAACATTATATCACACCATTTGTCTAATCATCAGTTATAAGTTTCAATGAAATTGGGAATAACCTGGTGAGGTGGATTCGTTGTGGGAGTAGGGTGAGTCCTGCCATTGGTCGTCCTCTTCTTAAATGCCCAGGATACCACCTCCTTTATTCCTAAAAAGCACAGGAAAAATGATAGATTACGAAAAAATTGAAAGATTAAAATTTACATATAGAGAGGGTAAACTTTTTGTTGTATTTTTATGGTTCGTAAAAGCTCAAACATTCACCTACCATAAGATTTTAATGTTTTGAATCCCAGTTGTTAGAAGGACGTTGGGAATAACCTGATAAAAATCCTCAAATCATCATAAATCTCTTACTATAGCTTTGAGTGCTGATAAACTTCACTTCACCACTTGTGCGACAACTGCGGGCAGAGACCAAAAATTCTTCATCTACGATGGGCACAAAGAGCAAGAGGGAGAATCATTGTTTGCTCGGTGGCGGTTTGAAGGGGTACTATGGGGATTGGCTTTAGGAGGCAAAGAGTGAGAGGGAGAATGATTCATTGATTGGCTGCGGTGGCGAGCTTCGAAGAGGAATTACAGGGTTGGTCTGGGAGACAACGCAAGAGCGAGTAAGTATTTTTTGTTCGGGGCTTTCCAAGACAGAGCACATGCAACAAATGCAGCGATGGAGGATTTTGATTTGAGATTGAGTACGGAGAAGATGCCAATAAACACAACGACGGTAGGAGAAGTAGAGAGAGGGAGACAATAGAGGATTTTTTATTTGAGATTGAGTGTGGCAAAAAGGCGGAGCCTATGATGAGGTTCAATGAGTAGAGAGGCCGTCGGGAGCATGCCAAAAAGGACGGCGAAGGATTTTGATCTCAGATTGCTATTGGGATGAGTCGGCGAGAATGAGTTCTTCGAATTCCAGTTGGAGGTTGAGAATTTTTATTTGAGATTGTGGTCTACGGATGAGAAGGAATGGTGAGGGAGGGTATTCACTTTCCGGTGCGAAGAAGAAATGGAGTCTGAATTACCTGGATAAAGAGAGTCTGAATTGACAAAATGGTCCCTTCAAAGTGTGCGATCGTTTGATGAAAAGAGTGACGTGGCAGAAGTTGTTTTTTCACATTGCAGTGTTTTGTAGATTTAAATCACATAACATAATAACTCAAAAAGTGAAAGAACCAAATTTGTGAATATATAAGCCCAACTCGTCTTCGGCCCACCAGGATCGAAGTTGTTGCATCGACAGCCGAGTTGAGTGGTCTTTCCTTGAAAATGCTATGAGAAGGCTGGGTTTTGAGCAGAGATGGATTGAATTAATCATGAAATGTGTTTCGACGGTTTCTTACTCTGTGTTAGTGAATGGTCACAAGACTGAAGTTTTTAAACCTTCGATGGGGCTTAGACAAGGGAACCCTTTATCCCCTTACTTGTTTCTGATTTGTGCTGAAGGTTTGTCAGCTATCATTAAAAAGGCAGAGTCAAAAGGGAAGTCACAGGGGATTCAAGTTCGAAAGAAGGCTCCCTCGGTTTCCCACCTTTTGTTCGCGGATGATAGTATTATTTTTGGAAAGGCTACCCTTAAAGATTGTGACCAACTAAAAGAAATGTTGAAAGCTTACTCTGAGGAATCTGGTCAACTGATAAATTTCGACAAATCGGAGGTGTCCTTCAGTAATAATGTTAGATGTAGCAGAAGGTTGGAGATTTGTGGGACTCTTGGTATTAAAGAAGTGGCTAAATTTCCAAAGTACTTGGGGACTTCCAACGGTGATTAGCAGATCCAAAAAAAACTATCTTTGTTGATATTAAGGAAAGAGTGAGAAAGAAGCTTAAAGATTGAAAAAATAGAACCATGTCACAAGCTGGGAAAGAGATTCTGATTAAAGCTGTGGCACAAGCTCAATTCTTATATCCTATGTCAGTTTTTCTTCTCCCTGACGGGATTACCCAGGAAATTCAAGGATTGATTGCTAATTTTTGGTGGGATCAAAAGGGGAAAGAAATCAAAATCAAATAGATATCTTGGGATGAACTCTGTGATGGGAAGGAGGAGGGAGGCATGGGTTTTCGTGACCTGAAGGCTTTCAATTTGGCTATGTTGGGGAAACAGGTTTGGAATTTGAGATTGAGGCCTCAATCCCTTATGGCTAAAGTGCTAAAAGCTCGGTATTTCCCAAAGAATGATATTTTTGGAGCTAAGCTAGGTTATCTTCCTAGCTACATATGGAAGAGTATCTGGACAGCTAAGGAGACTATAATGGATGGCTTTAGATGGAAGGTGGGTAATGGGAAGTCGATAAGGATCTGGGATGATGAATGGATACCTGGAAAATCTTTTTTCTATCCATATCCTGTTCCAGCTAATGAGTTCCCGGATGATTTGGTTAGCTCGATTATCGATCAACAACAGGGGACATGGGATAGTCAGAAAGTTGAGAGATTATTCTCTGCTCAAGACCAGGTGTTGATTTCTAAGATTCCCCTAAGTTCACCTCCAAAAGAGGATTCTCGTATTTGGAAGGACTCTGTTTCGGGTTCCTATACTGTAAAGTCAGCCTATTTCTGGATTCGTAACAAGCAGCAAAGCAAGATTGATCGTTCTCACAGCTTTGGGGAGGATAATTCTGAGTTCTGGCAAAATCTATGGAGTCTATCCACGCAACCTAAAGTGAAAATTTTTCTCTGGAAACTTTGTAAGAACATCTTACCAGTTGGGGCGAACGTGACTGACTAGGTTGAAACGGCTGGAGATGAATGTCCATTCTGCTATCTTAAAGAAACCCATATGCATGCGCTCCGGGATTGTGCTTGGATCAAGCGTCAATGGCAGGGCTGTGAAGTGGAAAACGTCTATAAATTAGGGGAAAATCGAACTCCAATTGAATGGATGAAAGAGGTTTGGAGGGTGTGCAGTATTGAACAAATCCAGAAGTTTACCTCGATCCTCTGGTTCCTCTGGAAAGAGAGGTGTAATCAGAAATGCAACAATCATAAGCTTGAGGAAGGCGAAATCATTCCCCGAGCGTTGTCCTGGATCGGCTCTTATCTCGCGGCCCAAGATCCTTCGCTCGGATCTACAGTCTCTGGGGCAACGCTAAATGACTCCCAGATTCATCAATGGAGTCCTCCCCCGGTCGGTGTTGTCAAGTTTAACTCTGAATGTGATGCTGGGGTTTTCCAAAATGGGGGAGTGGGTTTTGGCTGTGTGCTTAGAGATTGGAGGGGAGCTTTCGTTGGAGCTACTATGAAGAAGGAGAAGGGATCTTGCAGTCCGATTGAGGCTGAGGCTAGGGCTAGGTGTGTTCAAACGGTGTGGTTACCGTGGTAACCATTTTAACCGGTACTATTTGGATAATTTGGTTTGGTTAATTTGGATAATTGATTTGGCTGGGTTAAAGTTTTTAGCTTGTTTGGTTTAGGTGGTTTGGTTTGGTTTCAGACACTCCTAACCAGTCAAACCAAATTAACCAGTTAAGTAATTATTCATATATCTAATATATATTATATACACATACTTAATACTTTGCATAACCACTCATGAGTTAAACGTTCATCCCTTTTAGACTCATAAAATATAAAGCTCAATATTGCTCCTATAGTGTATATTTGTATATGTAAAGTGTAGACCACAACATATGGGCGCCTAATTTAGATAAATCTCATACATTATGATGGATAAAAACTTGAAAGGAATGTCATTTCCAGCCTATGATAATTGCTAAGAGACTAAGTCAATTCACACAAACACAACATTCGTTAACCCATACCAATGCCATAAAATTTTGTTAGGTGAATACTTCTATACTAATTGTTAGATAATTTCCTTAGTTGCATGTATTTATATTAAGGGTCAACTATAACTATGTGTTGATTGTTATGTTTTATTCATTATATAAATTGCGAATTGATGCATTAACCGGAAAATTTTCTCACTTAATGATAATATATGATTTTATATTGGTTAATCTGGTTAACCAATTAACCAAACAAATTAAACTTTAGTTTGGTTAATTTGGTTGTTGTATTAGTTTGGACGGTTTGGTTATGATATTGTATTCCATGGTTAATGAAATTTAGTCTTATTTGGTTTGGTAATAACCATGGTAACCATTTGAACACCCTAGTTAGGGCGTTGGTGATGGGACTGGTGGAAGCAAATCGGAGGAATTTGAGCCCTTAATTGTTGAGTCAGACTGTCAAGTGCTCATCAACAAGCTGAGGAGGAGGGAAGAGGATTTCACCGAGCTGGGAAATTGGTGCGATAAAATCTTAAGGTTGGCGAAGGTGAATGAAGATTTGTCGAGTTCTCAGGTGATTTGGTCGTTTGCGGGCAGAAAGAAGAACAGGATTGCTCACTGTTTGGCCCGAGTTTGGGACGGTCAAGTGGTTTGGACCGAAAATCTCCCACTCTCTTTGCTTGTTCTGTTGGAAGAAGATTTGGGCCGTGGCCCATGTAACAGAGGTTAATTTTTTGAATCGAATACAAGTTCCCATAAAAAAAAAAACTCGTAGTACGATTCTTCAGAAAAACGCACAGAAAGGGATTTGGGCGAAATCAGAAAGCGAGATCGGGAAGCCGTCGAAGAAGTGGGAAGGGCGAGCAACAGCCGAGAGTCAGAAATGTCGACCTTCTTACAATCTTTTCTGGATCCACGGAAGAACTGGTTCGCCAGGCAGCACATGAACGCGATCTCGACCCGCCTAAAGAAATACGGTTAAGCTTTTTTTCTCTCCGTCTGAAACCCTAATTTTATTGATTTCCAGTCTCTTCCTGATTCCAGTGCCTTACCGTTTATGTCAATTGATTGATTAGGTCTGAGGTACGACGATCTGTACGATCCCTACTTCGATTTGGATGTGAAGGAGGCGCTTAATCGGCTTCCTAGGGAGATCATTGACGCTCGCAACCAGCGCCTCAAGCGCGCCATGGACCTCTCCATGAAGCACGAGTACCTCCCCGCGGACCTTCAGGTATGACTTGTTGATTTCAGTCTCTTGGTTATCTAGCTCGGTGATGTCTCGGTGGAAATTATGATCTGTAAATGTTTTGCCAAAGTTTGCTCTGGAAAGGGCTGTGCTGAAATTAAATTACCTGTCTTGCAATCAATGAGATGAGCTCCCAAGGGATAAGGCTAGTGAATTGTTGTATCACTCCTACATTGGGATTTTTTCAAATGCTCAAAGGCGATGATGTCATTCATTGTGGATGTTACAGTGTCGAAATCATGTTATTTGATCTGTTCTTGTTGCTAATAGTGATTTGCAACCCGCCTTATTCTATCGGTGGTCTTAATGTGTGCCATTAGATTGTCAATCGTTGTTGCAAGGACAGTGAATTGTGAAATAAGACCAGCATAAATTCCTGAAAGAGTAGGCTGCAGTAGTTTTCTGGCTTAGGAAAGCTGTAGGTGGGGTCACGTATAGTGCCTCACTTGGCCGTCTTCAGTTATCTGATACATAATAGAGTCACATTGGCTTCTGTTTCCCTGGACTCTACTTCTCGTGGAGGAGATATCAGTGTATTTGCAACATGCTAATCATATATTCTCCATAACTGGCAGGCAATGCAAACACCATTCAGGAGCTACCTCAAGGACATGCTGGCTCTGGTAAGTTGTGTTTTTTTATTCAAGCTGTGGTCTTTCCAGCATGATTTGAGTGGTTGTCACTGCTGGTCTGGGTTGTTTCTCTCAAGTCGTTGGTAGTTTGGCCAAATTTATTCATATTTGTAAGTGGTTTAGTGGGTTAATCTAGCCTTTGGTAGAACGGATTTTGAATTCCCCCCCGGTAATTAACAGATTTTGAATTTCTCCGTACTGCAATCAAGAAACTAGCTCTTAGTTTTTAGCTTTCCTTTGTCTTCTAGTTTTTTTGTTTGTTTGTGCAATGCTGCTTGGTGATGTCAGACCTTGCCTTTTAATATTATAGTCCTCTGTTAAATAGGAAGTTAGGTATCGGCTGAGAAAGTTCGATCCTCTATACCTACCATATCCTTGAATTTAAGAGTTGCAATAGGTTTATGTCACTGATTGGATAGCTGTAGGCGATGGGTCATGGAAGCGTGTATAGACTGTGTAGTGTAGACAACATTTGCAGGTGACTTAGATTCCATTTTGCTTAGCTGTTCCTTTCCCTCTCTGTATTACGAGACATCATATTGGGATTTTGTATTTGGGCTTAGCTACCTTAGGAGAGCCTCAGTGTTTCAGATTTAGTGTTGCCTTAGTTATTGTATAAGGTCTACTTTTATGATTTATACATCTTATATTGCCCTATATATTTTTTTCTACCGTGGCTGTCATGCTTGTTGTGATGAAAGCCTATTCCTTGAATATGTAACATGATATCAATTTTCAGTTTGTACATGTTGTAACTGCCTGATAACAGACGGTTTATTATCAAACAGTAACAATTTACTTACATGCATTTATAAGTATGCCTCTAGCAAGCGTCTCGGCAATTTGCACCTTGCAGTTTTAGAGCAGAAGTAGGACACTTAGCTAAGAACAGTATCCGTTCGTTGGTTGCTTGCCTCGTTCAACCTCAGTATTTGGTCTTCAGGAACTAAATAGTACAATGTGGAATTTGCTTACAGGTGAAGAAGGAGAATGCAGAACGTGAGGCTCTGGGAGCCCTGCCTCTCTACCAGCGCACAATTCCATAAGCTGCTCAGTTCTTCAGGTGCTTATCGAAGTGGTTTTCTTGTTCATTCCAATCCGCATCCAGTAGATGTCCAATACATATCTCGGGGATGGTGGTTGATATATTTTTGAAACGTTTTACGTACTCCAAACTGGATAGTTCCGACGTATTGAATTTTCTGTACCGTCAGTTTTCTAATAATCGCAGATGAGACTTTTGAATTTCTGGTTCTTCCGCATTCATTAAAAACCTTCATTGCCTCTCATTTAGCAATGATGTTTGTGCAAACTAAGACTTGTTATCTTTAATTCTTAGTCGTCCTATCCGGATTGGTTGATCCTCGTTCACTCGAAATGAGATCGCTGTAATTTTCTTGCAATCAATTCTCTGATATAGGTAGTGAGGCATTACGCTCAGTTAGTGCCACACTGAGTTTTGCCTGTGATATACCGAAAAATAGGACCATGAGATGTATGATGGGTGCCCTTCACAACCGGTTGAGTGTGGAGAAGATGCCAACAAACACAACGACGATAGGAGAAGTAGAGAGAGAGAGAGAGAGACAGTAGAGGATTTGATTTGAGATTGAGTGCGGCAAAAAGGTGGAGCATGTGATGAGGTTAGATGAGCAGAGAGGTCGTCGGGAGCGTGCCAGAAAGGACGACAGAGGATTTTGATCTCAAATTGCAGTTGGGATGAGTCTGCGAGAATGAGTTCTTCGAATTCCGGTTGGAGGTTGGAAATTTTCATTTGAGATTGCGGTCTGCGGATGAGAAGGAATGGCGAGGGAGGGTATTCAGTATTCACTTTCCGATTCGAAGAAGAAATGGAGTCTGAATTACCCAAAAAAAATGGAATCTTAATAGACAAAATGATCCTCAGAAGTGTGCGGTCGTTTGTTTGATGAAAAGGGTGACGTGGCAGAAGCTGTTTTTTGACATTGTAGTGTTTTGTAGATTTAAATCACATAACATAATAATTCAAAAAGTGAAAGAACCAAATTTGTGAATCTATCTATACAATATATAAAGCCAAAACATGGATAGGATTTTCAGGGATTTGAAAATGGTGGCTCTAGAGTGGTTTACGGATGGGCCTTTCAGTCATTTCCCAACTCTAACTAAGTGCTGCGCCTGCTGTGCGTTTCAATTTTACCCAACCCAATCCACTTCATCACACATGGGCCATATGGAATTAATTCTCACGACACTTGGGCCTATCGTTGGATCTTCCAGCTTCACAAAGTCTTTAGTGAAGTCTCACCTCCGGCGATTCGGCCTACTCATTGACGTGAAGAGGCAGCAAAATTCTGGAATAGCGAAGATATTGCAGTCACATCTCCTCTCCGGGGATAGCTATTCACCAAATTTCTCCAATTTACCGGTCTTCCACTCATCGAAAGCCTACCCTGAGGTTAGGGCCGCCTCCTCTCCTCAATCGTGAAGCAAACTAACCCATCTCCTTCTGACATCATCCATTCTATAATCTACCAGTGATATTTTTTACATAAAACCCAAATTTACTTATTTCATTTGCTATATCCCTTTACGATCTTAAGGGATCTACACCAAAACCAGCCTGTTAACTTGATTTTTTTAAAGAAAGTACTAGGCAGTGTGGGTTCGATATACTACTATTAAACATTGGTGTAAGATATTAGTTTTACTCATTGGTGGCCAAATCGATTTCAGTTATTGGCCCGATCAAGAAAATGAGTAAAGAGTTATTGGTTGGAAACCGGTTTAACTATATTACCATTAACCATTGGTGTAGATATTAATTTGACTACTTTTCAAGGTTGCCAACTCGGTCTCAATCATTGCCACGGTCGAGAAAATGCGCTAAGATTTAATGGTCAAAAATTGGTTTAGCTTGAATATATGGAAACCCCATTATATTTTGCACACACAACCACACATATGTGAGTATATATGGTGTTTTATATAGTAGTTTGAGTAAAAACAAAAGGTAATGCATACATTGGTAAGAAAAGACAATCTAGACTTTGAATTAACCGGATTTCGGGTCATGATACTATACCTAACCCTTGAGGAGTGGGGTTTTCAATCCTTGCCCTAAACATCAAGATGATGCACATAATTTGTTGGATGTATTTCGATGAAACATGACTTTCGATTATTGTTTCTAATTAAACTTAACTTAGTATATGAGATTCATAGAATTAAGACCTAGATTTTAATATTAAGGGTTTAGGGTATAGTACCACATCCCAATCTCCAGACAATTCAAAGTTTAGATATCATTTTCTTACTCAAAGTATATCATTCAAGGTATATATATCATTTTCTTACTCAAAGTATGATAGAACCACCCATATTTATAGTTGCATTTATCCTGTCGGAAAATCATTTGTTCTAAACGTTAGTTAGTTGGACTGCAATTTTATCAGGTTTGAATGTTGTTTGAAACATTTTGAGCTTCATTAGTCAAATATTTTGAGTACTCCTATATTATTTAGGTATTAGATCTTATTTTGGACCGAGCTTTTACGAAAATAACAACTTTGCCATGAACATGCAAATAAGATAGTTTTGTCCGAGTTTTGAAAGAGAACAAATTTGGGTTGACCGTTAATATTGACGGTCAAACATTTCTTTTGTATATAACTCAACATATAATGCTAAAGTGGCTGCGACGTAGCTTCCATGTCATAGGGATAATACTCTATTTTGGCTGAACATTAACCTCAAAAATAATTTTGACCTAAACTTTCAAATAAGACAATTTTGTCCGAAATTTCAAAGAAATATATAAATTTGGCACATAATTTCGGTTGTCGTTAATATTGATGTGGATGGGTACAAAGAGAGTTTCAGTTTTGTGCATCGGGATTTTTGGGGGCCTTAATCAATTTATTTTTTAATTTGATTAATGCAAGTAAAAATGAAAATATTAGGATAAGTCAAGGGTCCTATTTTGTTGTCTTATTTTTTTCTTCTGAAAATTTTTTACATTTTATTTTGTAATAATTTTTTTAGATGTTATAAATAAATAATGTGGTAGCCACATCGGAACCTAAACCTCTCTATCCATACTGTCAATATTAAAGGTCAATCCAAATTTTGGACAAAATTTGTCAACTTCTTTCAAAGTCCGAACAAACCTGTCTTATTTGAAAATTCGGGCCAATATTGTATTTTACGTCAACTTCATTGCAAAATATGGTATTATCCCTATGAAGTGGAAGCCACGTCGCATTTGTAGCCACCTCAGCATTGTTTTTTGAATCATGGGTGAAGATATGTTTGACTATTAGTATTAACGGTCAACCAAAATTTTAGTCCAAATTTGTCAATTTTTTCAAAATTCTAAAAATTATCTTTTTTGCAAGTTCATGTCAAATTTATCTTTTACGCCAAACTTCAAGACCAAAATAAGGTATTTTCTTTTTTGAACAATTGTATTTCTTTCTCCAATCATATGTCTGATCTTCTTATTATATATGGTAAACATGTGATACGTACATAATTTTTTTCTAAACATTCCCGGCCAAGGGCGGGGCCCGGTGCTAGTATATATAAGCCCAACTCGTCTTCGGTCCACCAGGATCGAAATTGTTGCATCGACAGCCGTGTAACCTGGACTATCGGCTTTCTGAAGAAAGCCCAAAAGTAGCCCATCAAAATTGAGCACGTCCGTCCTGCTCGGCAAAACCCAAAATTTCTCTCCCAAAAAAACTCGTAGTACGATTCTTCAGAAAAACGCACAGAAAGGGATTTGGTAGAAATCAGAAAGCGAGATCGGGAAGCCGTCGAAGAAGTGGGAAGGGCGAGCAACAGCCGAGAGTCAGAAATGTCGACCTTCTTACAATCTTTTCTGGATCCACGGAAGAACTGGTTCGCCAGGCAGCACATGAACGCGATCTCGACCCGCCTAAAGAAATACGGTTAAGCTTTTTTTCTCTCCGTCTGAAACCCTAATTTTATTGATTTCCAGTCTCTTCCTGATTCCAGTGCCTTACCGTTTATGTCAATTGATTGATTAGGTCTGAGGTACGACGATCTGTACGATCCCTACTTCGATTTGGATGTGAAGGAGGCGCTTAATCGGCTTCCTAGGGAGATCATTGACGCTCGCAACCAGCGCCTCAAGCGCGCCATGGACCTCTCCATGAAGCACGAGTACCTCCCCGCGGACCTTCAGGTATGACTTGTTGATTTCAGTCTCTTGGTTATCTAGCTCGGTGATGTCTCGGTGGAAATTATGATCTGTAAATGTTTTGCCAAAGTTTGCTCTGGAAAGGGCTGTGCTGAAATTAAATTACCTGTCTTGCAATCAATGAGATGAGCTCCCAAGGGATAAGGCTAGTGAATTGTTGTATCACTCCTACATTGGGATTTTTTCAAATGCTCAAAGGCGATGATGTCATTCATTGTGGATGTTACAGTGTCGAAATCATGTTATTTGATCTGTTCTTGTTGCTAATAGTGATTTGCAACCCGCCTTATTCTATCGGTGGTCTTAATGTGTGCCATTAGATTGTCAATCGTTGTTGCAAGGACAGTGAATTGTGAAATAAGACCAGCATAAATTCCTGAAAGAGTAGGCTGCAGTAGTTTTCTGGCTTAGGAAAGCTGTAGGTGGGGTCACGTATAGTGCCTCACTTGGCCGTCTTCAGTTATCTGATACATAATAGAGTCACATTGGCTTCTGTTTCCCTGGACTCTACTTCTCGTGGAGGAGATATCAGTGTATTTGCAACATGCTAATCATATATTCTCCATAACTGGCAGGCAATGCAAACACCATTCAGGAGCTACCTCAAGGACATGCTGGCTCTGGTAAGTTGTGTTTTTTTATTCAAGCTGTGGTCTTTCCAGCATGATTTGAGTGGTTGTCACTGCTGGTCTGGGTTGTTTCTCTCAAGTCGTTGGTAGTTTGGCCAAATTTATTCATATTTGTAAGTGGTTTAGTGGGTTAATCTAGCCTTTGGTAGAACGGATTTTGAATTCCCCCCCGGTAATTAACAGATTTTGAATTTCTCCGTACTGCAATCAAGAAACTAGCTCTTAGTTTTTAGCTTTCCTTTGTCTTCTAGTTTTTTTGTTTGTTTGTGCAATGCTGCTTGGTGATGTCAGACCTTGCCTTTTAATATTATAGTCCTCTGTTAAATAGGAAGTTAGGTATCGGCTGAGAAAGTTCGATCCTCTATACCTACCATATCCTTGAATTTAAGAGTTGCAGTAGGTTTATGTCACTGATTGGATAGCTGTAGGCGATGGGTCATGGAAGCGTGTATAGACTGTGTAGTGTAGACAACATTTGCAGGTGACTTAGATTCCATTTTGCTTAGCTGTTCCTTTCCCTCTCTGTATTACGAGACATCATATTGGGATTTTGTATTTGGGCTTAGCTACCTTAGGAGAGCCTCAGTGTTTCAGATTTAGTGTTGCCTTAGTTATTGTATAAGGTCTACTTTTATGATTTATACATCTTATATTGCCCTATATATTTTTTTCTACCGTGGCTGTCATGCTTGTTGTGATGAAAGCCTATTCCTTGAATATGTAACATGATATCAATTTTCAGTTTGTACATGTTGTAACTGCCTGATAACAGACGGTTTATTATCAAACAGTAACAATTTACTTACATGCATTTATAAGTATGCCTCTAGCAAGCGTCTCGGCAATTTGCACCTTGCAGTTTTAGAGCAGAAGTAGGACACTTAGCTAAGAACAGTATCCGTTCGTTGGTTGCTTGCCTCGTTCAACCTCAGTATTTGGTCTTCAGGAACTAAATAGTACAATGTGGAATTTGCTTACAGGTGAAGAAGGAGAATGCAGAACGTGAGGCTCTGGGAGCCCTGCCTCTCTACCAGCGCACAATTCCATAAGCTGCTCAGTTCTTCAGGTGCTTATCGAAGTGGATTTCTTGTTCATTCCAATCCGCATCCAGTAGATGTCCAATACATATCTCGGGGATGGTGGTTGATATATTTTTGAAACGTTTTACGTACTCCAAACGGGATAGTTGCTACGTATTGAATTTTCTGTATTTTCTAATAATCGCAGATGAGACTGTTTTGAATTTCTGGTTCTTCCGCAGTCAATAAAAACCTTCATTGCCTCTCATTTAGCAATGATGTTTGTGCAAACTAAGACTTGTCATCTTTAATTCTTAGTCGTCCTCCTATCCGGATTGGTTGATCCTCGTTCACTCGAAATGAGATCGCTGTAATTTTCTTGCAATCAATTCTCTGATATAGGTAGTGAGGCATTACGCTCAGTTAGTGGCAGACTGTGTTTTGCCTGTGATATACCGAAAAATAGGACCATGAGATGTCTGGGGGGCATTCTCCCCTGTATGAGGGGCGCCCTTCACAACCGGTTGTAACAATGGAGGTGTAGTGCATGGTCTATATGAACGAAACGTTGCTCGAAGAACAATCGTGCTCTTAGAAAGAGATTTCTTTTTACATCTCGACACCCGGATCAATATAGCTTAAAGTGTGCCAAAGTGAACGAGGCTCGTTGATCATCAATATATGAAGATGGTGATTGGTGACTGGATATTTGCCTCTCCGAAATCCCTTCCCGCAGCAAGCCGTAGGGGATATCAGGAACCTGACGAGCTCACTGTAGTAGTGCATCAGCTTCTTCTTGCACTTGTGATGTTTACTCTTTAACTTATTTTCGCCTTCTGATACGTCGAATTTGTTACAAATTAAACGTAAGTGACTGTTTTACGAACTTGTCACAAATGCGAGTAACCATTTGGGTGGAAGTGATCCGATTGAGATGGGGATGGAGCCATGGAGGGAGTTAGATTGGAGACCGCATCACGTGGGTAGGTATGAGAAGCAGCCAAGAATCGGGCCGATCTGTGGAGTTATGGCTTCCATCCATTATTTGGGTTAGGGCCTTAGGGGCACGAATGTGTCGTCTTCGTCACCGACTGAAACTCTGAACCAATGAATCCCTCCACAAGTTAGAAAAAAAAACTGTCCTTTTCTGGATCTTAAAACTAGCTTTCAAGTTTCACCTTTGTCTACCCAAAATTAAGGACGAAGGGGAGAAAGGCATTTCACCAACCTTTCCTCGATTTGACAACTTGCGTTGCACGGGGTCGACTCGGTCTCCTCCCTTTCTCTCCTCTCCACCGCAGCAGCGAAAGGAACCGACGAATCACTCGTAATTCGCAAGATCTTGATAGTAAAGAAACAGACTGGATATATGTATCTTATCAAATTTAAAGCTAAAGTCTTCGAAGAGGTTGGAGAGTGTACTGCCGCCAAAGGAGAATCAATCTAAGTTAATTTATGGGGTTGAAGTTTACACCGGTCTAAATAGTTGCATATCTTGTGTATTGTAAATTAGAAGTTAGTATTCATGATTGAGACGTGCAAGTATGTAAAAATGAGAGCTTCCGCTTGAAGATTTTAATGTCATGATAATAACAAACTCGTTTCAATAACTCGAATCACTAGGTCTAGGAGGCAAATAAATGTAATATATAATAACATCTTCTAGATTGCTCTCTCGGACCAAACTCAAACTATAAGTTTTAAGTTTGCACACAACACATACCCATATACCTCTATGTTTTGCAAGTTAGAGTGATCTCTTAAAACCATTCCTTGCATTGCATTGCATTGCATTGCATATATCCCCGCAGTTGCATCGAAATTAGATGGAACCACGATTAGGGGTCGGTAACGATCCGGTCGACACCAGACCGAGTTGTACTCAATTTTGGACTGATCTAATCAAATCGAATATATTTCAGTTTGTTTTGATCATACAAAAAAAATTATCTCAAGTATAAAAGGAAAATGGGCCGGACCGTGTTGAAAAAAAAAAGAATCAAACATGCTTCTTGATCTAATTCTGATACTCCATTTCCTTTCATTTTAGCCGCGGCGTCTTATCGCGATTTAATTCAGTTCTATACCATATCAATGGCGTTGAAGGTTTGCCAAGTGGGGGAGGAGAAGAAGGGGTTTAATTGGTTTGGTCCCAATCAATCAGTTAACATCTCCGGGAAACAATGGCATATGTCTCTGTATTCAGGTGGGCGAGTCTCCAAATAAATTCGTGTGCTCTGTATTGCCATTGTATTGTGCCATTCTATCCCCAAATGGAACATTACCATGTGATGCTTTTATGTCGATTCATCCACATCCCATCTAGCTAGCCCTTGTGTAATATTTCCTAGATCTCGGCCATTAAATCTTATTATAAGCCCTGTTATAAGACCCGGGTTGGACCGGTCGACCCGACTAGTACAAATGTAAGAATTATGGGTCGTCGGTGATCGTTTGTTTTGGAACGTCATGTTTTTGCAGTGTTTTTGTTGTCCTTACGTGATTTGCTACCGACATCACTCTAAGTAAATACATACGTCGATTTTACAAACTGTAAGAACTATGGTTCTTCACGTAACTTGGGATTCACGAACTTGATTGATAGAATGCGATTTAGGGATTGGAAGAAAGAATTGCGAATTGGGGATTTGGTATTGTAGAGGAAATTAAGAATCGAGGAGAAGAACGGCCGACGACCTAGGGATAGGTGACGAATATTGAGAGAAGATGGGTTAGGGTTTGGGATATTTTGCATAATATTGTTCTGATTAATTTTAACGTAATGACTCAAATACATATTTATAGGAAAAAAATCCAAAATCCTAGTAATTAACCCTAACCTATGATAAAAATTCTGTCTTTCGTTAGTATATTATTTTATATATCTTCTATTTTGAAGGTATGATTGGTTCCATATACATAATTGCTTGAATTGTTCTATCATTAGGGCTATTTGTGTATATACGTATGCACGAGTAACCAGTCTTAATCACCCACAGCTGTGATGTACTTAGTGATCGGAGACGATAATTATCTTGGAGACAGTAATATAATTCCCATGTGGCACCATTTATGGACTTTGAGATGGACAGTTTCCCAAACTCCTGTCCGCTGCTGTTCAAAGAAACACATGGTACGACGACGACGATCGGTGATGACAACTGTTGGGGTTTGTTTCTGCCTGAACTCGTCTTTTCATTGTCAGTGTGTACAACTTTATCGACGAATCAGCTCCGTTCATTAACATCAAAAGACGGTTAGCGTTCGAATTAGTGACACCAATTAGTTCTTAACGGTTGAAATTATTAATTATGTGTACTTAGTTTGGATAGCTGTAGGAAACCTATTTTTAGGGTTCCAACGATTGTGCTGGGAAATTGGGAATTGGTAGAGATTTAGGGATTTAGAAGAGAATTAGGGATTAGGAACAGAATTGGGGAAGAACCGAAAGAACGGCCGAAGCCTCTAGAGAGGAGGATAGACGAGATTTGAGAGAGAAAGAGATTAGGGTTTTGGGGAAGGGTAACTTTTCTATTAATTTCTGCTTAATCTGACGAATGACCCAAAGTACATATATATAGGAAAATACTAGAAAACCCTAAGAATAAACCTAATTCTACTAGAAGACTACTAACCATAATAAGAATCATCCTAATAATAAGCATAATAAATAATAGAGAAACCCTACAGAAATTGGTTTCTAACATCTCCCCCCCCCCCCCCCCTTCAGACCAACCTTGCCCTCAAGGTTGACCGACTTGATCCACTCTTCCTTCCTTCTCGCGCAATCCGCACGTTGACTCCTCCATTTCTTGCGCTTCCGTTTCTTCCAATCATGCTCTAACTTTGATATTGGGCTTCTCGCACCAACCTTCTTGTGTTGATTTAAATCTTCAACCTTCACTTCTATGGGCCCACTATTTGCTTCCTTGAAAATTTCAAACTTCAACAACTCCGTTTTTGTTGACATAACAATCCAGCAACTAGAGAAACCCAATGGTTCGTTCTTGTTCAAGAACCCATCCTTAAATACCATCTCATCAAGGCCTTGATACAATTTCCTTGAAGGTAGTCCAATACCTTGCTTTGTTGCTTCCCCCCATATTTTAGGGCCATACTCTCTTAAGAGCCCATTTGCCAACTTATTAAGCTTATCTCCCACCCTCCTGAATATATGACCCATACTCGACCCAAAGTGCTCCAAAAAACAAGGCCCATTATTCTTTTGAAACTCTTTTAATTTAACCTGACTAGGCCCGTGACTGAGCTTGCTCCGGGCCCACTTCCTTCTCAACATCAGACCACTGAAATGATCGTCCTGTCCACTTAAAAACCTTGCAGCCTGCAACAAGTCCATTAGCTCCGGAGAACAGATCCTCCGGCAAAGAGGACCACTTGCTTCTGGCATCGTCTTCGCAGTCGTCGCCTCCTCACCGGCTGACTTCTTCGTATCTTTTCCCGTCGTCACACATTCCAGCCGACAACTACGATTTGAGCCGACTCCCGCCGTTCCCGACGTCACCTCATCGTCGGTTAATGCACCAGTCCCTAGTTCCGCCTCTTTGGCCTTTGTCATCGCGATTAGAGCTTCTGGCGACGGTGGCGCCTCTCTTCCCTTTGCGACCTGCGACCAAATTACCTCGGCGGATGCTCGAACAACGAGAGAAGGGCTGATGCCGCCGCCCTTCTCCTTCATCTCATTCGACGGCGGAACCGTCAACGCCTCCCAGCTTCTCGCCTCTTGCACGATCTGCGATGCCAGATGCTTCTTCCGCGGCGGCGAGCACGCTAGCAGACGACGAGGAGGCCAACCCGTTTCTCCGGCTTTGCGTGGATCGGTCACGACGTGGATCTCCGCCAGCTTCGAAGGGATTCCCGGGTTCCTGGTGATCTGAGTCTCTGCAGTCAGCAAGGTCAGTGCGGCTTTCCCGGTCTTAGTAGCTTTGCCGACTAGTTGCTCATCGACGGCATTGACTGGAGGCTCAACGGCAGTTGCCACCTCTTGGTCGGCGACGGGTGACATAATAAGCGATGATGTCGACGAGGCAGTGACGATGAAAACCCCCGCGGTCGCCTGTTCTTCCTCGTCGACTCCCGCTTTCTTCCTTCGGAACTTCCACCCATTGATAGGAAGGTTCAGTGGCAACGTGATACGTCCTGCGGCTGTTGATGGAGTGGATCTGATCAGCAGGCCATGCTCCAAGTGGCCTTCACGAGAGTTGGTGCCGATTGCGAGTGCAATGACCGGCTCGACGAGAACAACTTTGGTTGTCGTCTCGTCTCTAGCAGGTGCTGGCGGTGAAACAAGTTTCTCCGGGTCTTGGCAGGACCCCCTGACTTCCACTCTCTTCACGTCTCTTGTCCCCATGACCACCCGGAGATTCTGTTGG